GACTAATGTTTACTCAGAAGTAAGTCCCCTAGAATCCATTGGATCTGACTCTCTCTAAAACGCACTTAGGACTGCAAGATTTGCAGTACAGTCCTTAGCATGTTTTCTCGGTAAATAACCAAGCTTACTTCTTTGTAAGTGCGATTAGGATTGCATTCCCAGGCCTGCATAACTTTCGATTGACTTTGCGCGTTCTTATGAGGAACAGGAAACTCTCTTGTCTTCTAAGATAGAACAACAACTTTTCCCAGTTCGTTCCCAAACTAAAAACTGTTTGGTACACTCGTTTTCCTGAAAGTGATTGACTTAACATAGAATTAATTTCTAGGTTAGAGATTTAGACTGCAATCCTAACCCCATTTACCTGGGAGTAAGTCCCATTGAATACAGTAGGACTTACTTTTCGGTATACTTGTTAGGACTGTGCAATCCTATGCTCCCTCACTCAGAAGTAAGTCCTATTAGGTTATTTACTTCTGGGTAAGAAAGTATAAGATTGCAGCCTTAGGTTGCAATGCCATAAATATGTATTTAGGGAAAGTGCCATTGAACTTAAACAAATTTACTTCTGTCTAAACGTCCGTAAGATATGGCTGTTTGCTTGCAATCCCAATCATCACTGAAAGTCAGTCCAACTGAAATGAATTGGAATTACTTCCGAGGAAACACGGTTAGGATCAAAGTGTTAGGTTCCCAGGATGTGGGCGCATAGTGATCCAGGAGAAATTTGCATTAACTCCAACAGGTTGTGCCTGTCCTCCAAGAAAATAATGTCCTGAATCAGATCAACAAATCACAATAAACTTTGCACCCGTTTATTTCCGAGAGCCAAGGATGTAATTCTTATTTAGCCTGTTTTGATTCACAACTGTAAAACCTCTGGAGAAATGAGGAGCTCTTTCAATAACTGCCACAGCCGATTAAAGATTGAGTTAGTCTAACTATCTGAGTTGCAACCAGACGATTAAACAAAACTGCAGTCGGGTCTCTTAATACACATGCTATTTAAAGAAACCAGCTATTTGGTTTAGCTTTGTTGTTTTTGCTAAATGAGACAGATAAACAATGAGTTGAAAATTCTGGTGAACACATTGCCTTCATCAAGAGGTGCGCCTAAGGTGGTCACAACGAAGTCTTCAGCTTGTGAAGGGAGGGGAACTCTGCCATTCAGTCAGTTCCTCGGCTAGAATCCTGCCTCTTCTCATCTCTCCATTCATGGAAATCAATGCCTAGAGGAACCTGCCTAACTGACGACCGATGGCAGGATCGCAGGCCAGACTTTGAGGAGCCGAATCAGGCTCTTCTCCATTAATCGAATGAATCTATTACTCGGCTGAGGTTTTCAGAATGATCTAAAGTGCGGGGGGGGGGGGCACAAAATAATTAAAAAAAAAAATCTTTGCATTTGGGGAGGGAAAATGTATTGTTATCCGGCAAAGTCATTGCTTCAGACAAAGATTAAAATAAAAGGTAAACTTCTAGGAACCCAAGTAGTGAAAACTAGTCAAGCCAAATATTTTGTTTACGTCTGCCCATCTGTTTAAAGTTGCTGGTGTTGCTGTCTGGGAGGAAAACTGGAATCTAAACAGGCGAAAAGGCCTTTACCTAGCTTAGGATTCTATTTCATTTATTGAGAGAAGGAGAAAGTGTGCTGGGGGGGGGGGAGGCGGGGAGAAGGGAGAGAGAGAAATTGAAATCCGTGTATTAAAGCAGCTCCATCGTTTCCAGACACCCTAGAACCCCTGTTCCGCGGCAGCATGTCTAATGTATTCCCCCGTGGTTCTGGGCATTAATTAGTTGTTTAATAGGAGTATGACTAAAAATGTAAAAGAAGGATTAGGAGCGTGAAACGTATGTCCAGATCCTTCCACACACTCGAGGAGGGAATGAAAATCACTCTGTATCTTATGTTTCTCTACAAGCCATTTGCATTTCCCACCAGCTGCTCACTTCAGCTGCACCGGCGATGGAAGTGCCCGGCTTCGAGTCGTGATCCGGGGCTGAAGCCCCCCCAGTATTGACGGCGGGCGGGGGGCGGAGGCGGCAGCAAGGGAGGAAGAGCGGGTTGTCGGGCAGAGGAGTGCGGAGTAGCAGCAGCAACTGCACGCTGGCTGGCTGGCCCGCACAGCTCAGACAGACAGAGAGGGAGAGGGAGAGAGAAAGGGGTTGGGGGAGGGAGGTCTGTGGCAGATCCTAATTTAAAGTCTCTGGAACAGGCAAGTGGTGAGGAACAGGCGAGGCTCTTTGCATGTGTCTCTCTGGACGGAGCCGCGCGGGGGGGGGGGGGGAGGACGAGCCTCCCTCGCATTCTTCAGACGGGTTCAAAGCAAAAGCAGCCACAACACAGCGGATCTGTTTACCTTTGTTATTTTACCCGGTACTGTCCATACATTAATTAGGTACACGGAAGCATGAATTTATTTCAGGAGACGAAGGGGTGTCTGGAAGCTGCTGACGGCCAAACAAAAGGATTTCTGACCCCCTCCACACACATACACAAATAGAGTTTAAGGTTAACCCTGCTGGATTTTTTTTTCCGCCATGGGACGGGGGTTGTCCTGGCTTTCTTTAATGAGCTAGGAAAACTCGATTAAATGTACTGTAACCTGTTTCGCTCGTCAGTAGGATGGAAAGAAAGAGCTATTGCCTTGGAACGTTTTCGCACACTTCTATGGTGTTTTGTCTTCCTGCTAGAAATGCGTGCCTGTCCGCCCCGTCCAACATTACGCACATAATCTCACACACCCAGAGATTTCCGGCGCAAAATAAGATGTGGGTAGAGCCACGATCGCCCCTTCTCCAAGTAGACCGCCTTCGCTTGACGTAGTCCCACCCTAGGACGTTTTGCGTTGACGTTTTCACTTTTTGGCAATGTTGTAAATAAGCGGCGATGGAAGAACCGTGATTCTACCAACGCGATTATTAGCGAGTTTACAACCCAATCGTGCCCTGGTGTACTTTGAAACCTCTGATTTCAATGCGATATATTCTCAAGGAAGTGTGCCGAGGATTGTAGACAAGTTATAGGAATGTGTTCATCCTCAACAAAATTAGAGAGAGAAAATTATATTAGAGCCTGATCCATACTACAGTACCAATACTCAAAAGTAAATCACGTGTCCCTGGGACGCTTTAACGGCAGAAGCGACCAAAATGACGTCCACTTATTTGCATCACCAATTTGGTTAAATTTTCCACCACCTCCCAAGTAACGTAATGGCAATGGCAATAACGTCTATCCTAAAACAGCTTGTTTTCTTTGTGCGTACGTAACAATTGTTTGTTTAGTATAGATTTTAGTTTTACTAATTTCTGAAATGCAGAAAATGCAATAAAATCGAATTAAGCTGTTAATGATAGGAAACTAAAACTCCTTTTTACAATGGAAAGGCTGGTGGTTTTTTGTTTTGTTTTTTACAGTTGAACTTATTTTATTGTGAGTAATAAATACAAGTAACATTTTTAAAAACGGCAACCCAGTTTTGGCAGTGTTTGTATCTAGTATGTGCAGTTTAACTTTTGTCAAGAATATCCGCCATCGTCTTCCATCGAGCTTTCCTAGTGTTTCTGTTTAACACATGCAAAATATTAATGAGCAAGGTCGACCTGATAAACTTTTTTGGGGGGGATGAACATATGCACTCTTAGTAGGGAGGAAGGTGGAGTCATCGACCTTCCCTCGGACATAAATCCTACTGAGCTCAAAAAGGCTTACTCCGGAGTCGTGAGTAGGCCACAGATCCACTCCTGCAGACGCGACTCCAAACGCTGCTGAGCTTTGAAGCATCGCATCTTCCGCCTTCCACTCCTCTCTCTCTCTCTCTCTTTCCTCCCCACCCCACCCCCAAACGTAACCTCGTCATTTTAAAAAATGAGTTATCAGTGACCCCACGTGAACTTGATGGGTGCCCATACAGCAAAGGAAATTCTACACTTAAATGCGCATCTGGGGCTTGTACGTCGCAATCCATTCCTTTAAAAGTGGCCAGAAACTCTTCTCTTTCCCCTCCCTCAACTTTCCCAGCTGCGAACTGTAACGTGGACATGTTTTGTTTTTTCCCCTTCCCGCTCCCTCTTTTTAGCTAGAAATGACTTTGAACTCTTGCGAGCGTCCTCGGCGGAGTGACCGGGCCTCTCTTCGCGCTGGCTCGCAGCCCCACGCAGCCGTGCATTTCCTTCCCACTTTCCTTGCGCCGCTTCCTTTCCCTTTCGGGTCTTGATCTTTACCTTCTCCTTGGCCTCTTTTGTTCCTTTCACTACCAACTTTCCCTCTGGGGATCCACACACACACTCTTTCCCTTTCGCCTTGCTACGGCTCGGTCTCCTTTCGCCTCCTTGTCAAAGAAATCCTGGCCACTTGCGCGTAACAGGGCAACGTGTTTGGGCGGTGGGGGGACATAAACCTTTCAAGATCTTTACATCGCTCCCCTGAAACCTTCCTGGAAAGCACCTCTCCCACTTTCATGCACCCCCCGCGCTCCTAACGCAGCTCCTTCGCCTTTCTGCTTTCCCTTTGTGGTGGGCTGTCGGGGGTGGGGGGGTTGGCTTTGTCACGTCCATATTCCTGGGACCATCGGTTTCTCCCTCGACCCAGAGATCTCATCTCCTTTTGTTTCTTAGGCCATCCACCACCTCGATTCCACCTAGCGCTATTTCAGTGTCTACCTGGATTTCGGGGAATATAGGCTAGGATCGGGGCCTTTCCTTGCACAGGGCGCTTCCACGAGGCTTACTCTCTCAAGGCAGCGCGCAGAGCATCGCCGCCTCGGTCTACTGATGGTTTGACTCTCTGCTCTCCGCCCAGCCTTCAGGTCGATCCGTCTGTCCATCTATCCATCCCCCTCCCTCCCTCTCGCTCTCTCTCTCTCTCTCTCTCTCAGGTCTTCTCCCAACTGCGCCCCCTGCACTTCGCTCCCCCCCCGCCCCGTCGTCTCTCTGCTCCGCAGCGGAGTTGAGTTTGGTGGAATCTCTGCTGACGTCACGCGGCTCCCTGGCCAGGCAGAGCGAGGCGAGAGGAGCCCGAGGAGAGGCGAAGAAAGGCAGAGAGACACAGGCAGCGTGTCCGCCCCGGGAAAGCACAGCGGTCCCGCAGCGAAGCCGCCAGGAGCCTGCCTGCCTGCCTGCCTGCCTGCCTGCCAGCCAGCCTGCTTGCCAGCCTGCCTGCCGTCGAGCCGCGGCCAACAGCTCCCTCCCGCCGTGGCCCCCTCGACGGAACGCCGCGCGCCTGCCGGCCAGCCTTCCTTTCTCCTTGGGGATCCTTGCCTTGCTCCGGCTTCCTTGCTGTCCCAGGCTGGCCGTAGTGCTGCTGCTGCTGCTGCGCTTGCTGGAGGAGGCGGAGGAGGCGTCTGTGGGCGACTCGAGTCGTCCACCAACTCTCATCTCGAGCCTGGGATTTGCTAAAAGCTTCGGCCCAGAAGACGACGACGAAGAAGGCGGCGGCGATCAGGGAGGGCGAAGGGGGGAAAACAGAGAGCGACGCGCGCTTGCAAAGGGAGCCGGTAAGCAGAGCCAGGGAGGCCCGTCGCTGCCTTTGGCCCGGCGGTGTGAGATAATGTGAATCGGCCAATTGGTTCCACTTCGCCAGACTCGCCCCGAAGGGTGATTTGTGGCGTTTGGGGGGCGAGCGGAGGGGGCCGTCTGGGCTGGCCGCAGACCTTGGGGTGTGTGTGTTTGCAGTTATAAATGCGGTGTGTGGGCTGGGGGGCTTTGGGGAGGGTTGGCTGTGGGCTTGCCAAAAGCAGTGCCCCCACCCCACCCCTTTTCGCGCGCTCGCAGTTCAAACCAAGGACTCCAGCTTAAACCAGACGTCTTGGGGTACCGGCCTCCTCCCTCGAGGGGGATGTTGAAAGAAAAGAGGAGTCGAGGCGAAGGACCTGCTGCAGGCCTTTCTGATCTGGGGCCGTTTGTAGACCCAATTGGCTACCTTTCCTTTCGCGAGCCGTCGGTTTGGAAGGGCTGGGCTCTCGCTAGGCTTGGAAGAGTCAGCCAACGCTGATCGCCAAGGAAAGACAATGAATTACCCTTGTCTTCTAATTGGCGTAACAACAGTAAACATAATAGTCATCTCCATCAGTACCACTATGATGAGGGCTGCTGCAGCTACTCCCACGACTATTTGCACCAGAAAGCTACTAACGCGCTACCAGTTAAAGTATACCAGCTGCAGGTTACTAGTTAGAATATATTAGGATTTAACACGAACACACACCGAGCTTCCTCCAAAGGTTCGTGGCCAGTTTCACTCCCTACGCCTAAAGGTTAATTCACTGCTTCTTCAAATGCAAAATCAATAATTTTTCTTTACACCCACACACCCTCCCTATTCTCCCCCCTTTCTTTTTAAAAGGCATCAGAAAAAGAAGTTTAATAAGTTAACAAAGGGGTTGCACTGGCAAGAAGAAAGTGCTGCTTTCCTAGGAAATTTGTCTAGTTTTGCAAAAGTTTCTTCTCAGCGCGCGCCTAAGTAAACGGTATTCCTCTGGAGGGAAACGTCATATATGTTGCAGTTTCTCTCTCTCTGTCGGTCTGTCTCGCATTTAAGGTTTGCAGATCCTTAAAGTAACGGAAATAAATACAGGCCAAGCCTTATGCATATGCCGCTTGTATATTTTTGTTCTCCTTTTGGTCCGGGCCTTGTTTCAGTTACAAAATAAGGCCCGATTTAGCATTTTTTTAAAACAAAATAGTTTAAACTGACTTATGTGTGTACAAAATCGGTTAGGGTTCTGCTGCTGTCTGCAGTCAGCCACCAATTCAATTTCCTCACTTCCTAGAAAGACAGAAAAGAAGCCCCTCCAAATCCTAGTTACTAATCTGCCATCAATAATATTTTATTTTATTTTTCTCTCGGTAATTATCATTTAATTGTATGCCTCGCTGCATGTTCATGATAAAAATATTTGAGAACAGCTTAAAAACGCGAATTTTGCCAAACCATTTTTAAAAGTGTGGGGGAGGGTATCTTTATTATTATTTAATTGTGATTCGCGCTGCTTACTTGTAAAATAGTTAACAGCGTCTTAAATGGTGCAAATTTTGCTACACGCCTAAAATAGTATTTTAAATCATAATAATACAACAAAATTAAATAAGGGACGAGCAAAAGTGGGTTAAAGATCGGAATTGCAAATGAACAAGAACCTAGTTTTCGTTCTGATCACCCTATTACCCTCCCCCAAATAATTTTGTAATAAACCGCATTCATTTAATCAATGGGATTCCTTCCACGTAAATCAGTTTAGCATAGGAAGCTAATATTAGTAATATGGCGGAAAGCTTGTGGAGTTACTCGTGAAAAGTTCCTACAGATCCCATGTAATCGGCCTGAATTACTCACCTCCCCCCGTTTTTGTGAGGTAGATATATGGAGAAACAAATAGTTATGTAGTTATGGATATAATTAGGACCTGGGTCTTTCAGAATCGATTTAGCGTGGCCATTTATTTACAGCGCAAAAATTGTGCCCCCCACCTCCGCAACACACACTGCAATCCTGACAATCGGTGGTGACTCCCCCCCGCCATAAATGTGCTTAGGTTTGTGCTGCAAAACTGTTTATTTCTTAAGAGCCCTGGAAACCCTGTAATAAAATAAATATTAATATACATATGAATGGCAGAAGAATATTTTTTTAAAGTGTGGATAATTATAACTGTTGACATTCCAGGTGGTTATATGTCTGTCTTTGCAGGATATAATCTTGTCCAGATTTTGGAAGAAGGTTGGAGGGGGGGAGGAGACTTAAAAACATAGAAAAATAAATTGCGCGTCTCAGGTGGTTAGATAAATTAGCCATCAAGGTAGGCGTTGAAACAGGGCGACCAAATTTGTCATGCGAGGCTTGTCTTGACAGAACCGGTTTAAGGATCACCAGAGAGGAATTAGGGGGTTTTCTTAATTGCCTTCCTTAACAATTTCACCACAGCTCACATACTAGGCCTCTTTATTGGAAAGGGCGTTTCATACAGTCAGCGAGCCATCCTCTTTCGGCTCCCTGGAGCTGGGAATATAAATGGCTCGGCCCTATTAGAATTCTGAGAGTTGTCTCAGGAAATAAACATTCACTGACCTTTCGGGTGCCCCGATCCTCTGCATATTTACCTGGAATGATGTCTCATTTATTTCAGTGGGACCCACTTGGGTATTAAGCTTAGGATCTGGCCGTTAGTTGAAAAGAAGGCCCATCGGCTTCGAAATAAGGCTGCGATCCTAAATCCAGCCTGATCCTGAGCGCCTGGTCAGAAGTAAGTCCCAGGGAACTGAGTGAGACTTCTCCCTTAAGTAAGAACCCACGGATTGCACCCTTCAGTTGGGGGGGGGGATAAGTTGCATTGCAACGGGAAGCGTTTGCAAATAAACGCGCTCAGGATATGGGTGATGCTATTAGGATATTCGATTATGGATCGTATTCGGAATCTTCAAAAAAAAAAAATGCTGTCGATGGCGGTTTCCCCCTCTAAAATCTTAACCCGCTTCTTAGTCATATTTATTTATCCGATCCAGATTTCTAAAGGAGGATAAGCACAGGCTAATAGAGGAGCACCATTGAAATGGGGGAGGGGGGTTTCAAAGGGGGAAATTACCCAAACGATGATGACATGCAAATTTTCCACCCAAATTATCATAAGTAAACACCTGAAGCCTGGACTAATAAAATCCCATCTGTGTTACTTCATATCGAGTTAGTAGAGAGCGCTGATAATGATTTTTGTAATATCTCCCGAACAGACATCTCAATCAGGCACTAATCCTGAGATTTTCCCCACCTTTAAAGAAGGGGGGGGGGACCCTCAGAATTACTAAAACCCGCAGCTTCCAAATGTGGCACCCCAGAGCTCTTCCGAAGGAGGCCTCCTGAGGGTGCCCTCCGTGTAAACCAAGCGGGGTGGGAACCCTGGCTAGGCGGTGGTCTGCGTTGGGGGACCCTCTTTTCCTCTCGCTCCGCGGGTCATCAGCCAATTCCCCTGAAGGTGTTTAGAACGGTCTTCGAAATCCCTTCTACAAGAATAGGACCGGGAGGTTCTGTATACCTACCTGGGTGAAGGAGTCAGCGAGCTTATCATGGTCAATTTCTCCGTGGCTACAGAGGGCCAAAACTCACGATGTATTGCACAAGCTCCGTCTCTGATCGGGGTGAACTCAGCCCTCATTTTAAGGGAATCTCCTTCTTAAATTCGGGGGCACCAAAATTTCCGCAGAATGAAAGTCCCTGGACTGCCCGGCACAGTCATTCACGAGAATGTCTTCTTTCTTTTTGATTTTGTGTATTTTTCTCTCAGTGGGGGGCAGGAGGTAAATATGCACACACACACACACACACACACACACACACACCCCCAATGTCCCTGAAAATAAACCCGGCCACTTTGCATCCCGGCTATTTTTCTAGATTAGTTCTATAGTGAGAGCGACGGATATCCAAATTCCTTCTCCTCCTTTACTTAAATGGTGGCAACTTTTTAAAAGTCGGACAAAAGAGGAAAGACCGCGCAGGCTTTAATTTTCAATTCAGGGAAGCAGCTGGTTGCATTATTTGAATGGGTTTAGGCACGCCTAGCTCAGCATAGGATCGGGCTGCGCCTCATTAATTAGCTGCCAGCCCGATCCTAACCCTGCATTTACTGGGAATTAAGTCGCGGGAAGTTTAGTACGACTTGCTCCCAGGTAAGTGCGCAACCTTATGCGCCGGATCCTCCTGTTTTCTCCTCGATGTGTAGGAAGTGTCTGGGATCGGAGCACCGGAAGTGCATCCTATTGAGTTTCTCTCGGGCCTACTTTTGCAACAAAGAATTAAAGGGTCAGGATTCTACATCACCAGGGTAGGCCAGTCCCATTGACAGCAGCGCGTCGCTTCAAATTTGGCCAGTGAAGGTCCCACTGGTAGGTTAGTGAAACTGAACGAAGCTTTTTATAGAGGAAGAAGGGTAAATTCCATTCAAAGACATTTTCATTAGACAAGCTGAGCAAAGCTATTTTCTCTCTCTGTCTTCCCAGCAAGGCACAGAGTGGGTAGCGCCTAACTACAGCCACAGGTTTTTTTTTACAAACCTAAAGGAAGTCCAATCCCAACACCCCTCCCCACAATAATAATTCTTTCAAGTGTTTCTGAATTGAGACGGTTATGTCAAGTGAGAAATATCCCTAGAGGCGAAGGGCATTACTCAGATTCCACGCGTCAAATGATGCACATTAATTTACATTAGTTTTGCATTGATGAGGATGAGGATAATTGTGTATTATTATTACTATTACTATTTTCTGCCTTATATATTCTATAGTGGGTCTTTAAACACCAAAACTGAGACACAAGGAAGAGGGAAGTTGAATGGCCAGGTACCACATTAATTTTCTCCAAAACCAAAAAGCCCGAACCGCACTACTCAGTCAAGCCGACTCTCTTTGAGTTCCAGGAGATGTAGTTCAATCGATTTTAAGCAAACAAACAAACCTCGATTTTCCTGGACTGGGAGTCGGGACTAAAAAAAAATCGCGTAGGGATCTCCGCCCTCCCCTTCCTCTTGCCTTTAAATGTCCAAAGAGGAAAGAAACCAGCAACACAAGCCTAACCATATTCCCCTCTCCGCCCACGAAGTTAAGTCCCACCGAATGTGTTTAGGATTGCAGGCACCTCCCTCCAACCAAACATCTGCCGCCCCCCACTTTTCACCTCCTTTCTTCTCCAGTCCGGGGGGAAAAAAACGGATGGTAAACTAGGCAACTGTTACGTGTTTTGTTTTGTTTTTCTTTCCTTTGCTTAAGAGTTCTTTTTAAGAGGCGCTCGGCGTCCTCTGTTCGCCCAGCCGAGCTGTCAGGTTGGTGGCTTCCTTCTGTGTGTCTTCTTAACGCCCATATGCATCTAATGTTTTGCAGATAACGGGTTATGGAGTCCAACTGTCGTAAACTTGTATCGGCTTGCGTTCAGTTAGGTAAGAGAGATATTTCCCATCGATTTACACTTCGCAAGAATGATGTCGACGTGCGGTGTGCATTTGTTTTGATTTGTGGGTGGGTTGTGCTGTTGTTGTTGTTTTTTCCAGTCTGTTAAAGCACCTGGGTGATGGGCGCGCGGGTGTATGCATAATATCTACCGAAGGATGTCCTGGCAAAGAGGACCACCCCCAGTGGCCACTTCCATCCCCATCCCATTTGCAGCCCGATCCCTAATCCAGTTGAGGGGGTGTCCTGTGGCCTTTTGGCTGTTTGCTGGAGCCCAGCTCCCATCAGCCAAAGGCCAGGGGAGATAAAAGTTAACCGATTTCCGAAGAGCCAAAGGTTGCGTAATTTATTTATTTTTTATCACAGTATTGCAATGCTTCTGTGTTGAGAGTAGGAATCGAGGGGTGAAAATTCACTGAAGGGATCGGGACTAGCCTGGCTTTCAGTCTTCGAACTCCGGCTTAGCTGGACTGTGGTTCCAGCGCCCTTGAGTTTCCTATCCTAGCACCTCGATTCGAGGCGTCCTGCTAGATCCAGTGTTTTGATTTCTGCCGCAGAGCTCTGTGTAAAGTCCAGGGTGCCCACTGGCCTGGCTAAGGCAGGCTCCTGGGGTGGCTGCTCCTGGTCCAAGGCAGAGAAAGCGGAGGAGCGGGGAGTCCCAGGGTTGGATTGGGTTGGGGGGTATGAGACGGGACTGCCCTTTTTACAAAAGTGTCCTAAGCGTGCTTGCTTTCCAAACGCACTTTCCCTAACTCGCTGTCTCTCTTTCTTTGTCCCCCTTCCGTCGCTCTCTCTGCCTGCTTGCCTGGCCTTTCCTTCTCCCGATCCACGACCCTCTTTTTCTTTCTCTTTCTCTTCCTCCCTCTCCCTCTCTCTCAGGGGTACAACCTTCTGCTGTTGAATGTCTTTTCTCCAAAGACTCTGATATTAAAAAAGGAGAATTCAATGATTCTCCAGAGAGCAGGAAGGAAGCTTCTAGCAGCAAACTGTTCGGAAGGCAACACCCCAGCGCCAATGGTGAGTCTGCCCACCCCTTTCTGGTCAGCTTCGCACTTGAATCTAGCTTCCCCTATCCCCCCCCCCCCCATATTCCCATCGGTGTCTCCTAGGAAAGGTTGATAGGTGCGATCTTGTATCACTGCGCCCAGTCGAACGAGATTCAAGTTGCAACCACAATGTATAGCGTATTGTGTGTAGGCCAGGAAAGCGGTGCGCGGGTGGGGCGGGGCACTTCTATTGCTTCTGCCTTTTAAAGCTTTCTTTAGCAGCTGTTGGATTCTACGCGGCCGCCCTGGTGATGTTTGTGCGCCTCCCTGGCCCAATCTCCCCTCTTTCTGTTTTAATCGCCAGCGCTGCGCCTCGACCTAAAGGAAGTGCAACAGCGCCCTCTGCTGCTCAGGTCCATGGGAACTGCGGGCAGCGCGGTCTGTGTGCGCGGTGGTGGGGGGGAAGCGGGTAAATTCTGGACGAAAAGGCTTGTTTGCCAAAGTTAATTTGGTTCGGGATTTTCCGCGTGAAGGGTGTAACAATTGTACTGAGCTTGTCTCTGTGGTCCCGAGGTGTTCTCGGTAAGCAGCAATCCTCTCCCGAAGCAGGGGGCGATTCCCCCCACCCCAAACAGCAGCCGCCTCAACCAAACTCCCATACAAACTTTCACTAAATTCAAGGCCGGGGCGTCTTCGCCTTAGACGTGTGGTGTTTGCAAAAGAGCAACATGGCAACGTCAGAGAGCTGGGAAGGGCCGGAGGCATCCGCGAAGGCGCAGTCAGGTACCCTTCGCTTGCTGCCTGACATCATTAGAAAAGCTGGCATGTTCCTTTCCGAAACAGGAATCGAGGCAGCTCAATCCTTCTGAATGTTTACTTGGAATATATATATATGGAACAAATCCCACCCCACTTAAAAGAATGAGCACCCACCCACCCAAAAAAGACCACAAGCATAACTAGTAGCCTCTCAGTTAAGAACCAAAGACCTGGCGTGGATGGGTTAAATAAAATGTTTTTGATCTTTAAAAAGCCATCAAAGGCTCCAGGCTTACAAATGAGGTGCCACCACTGGAGAGACCCCATACAAAATGCTTACAAAATAATAGACCTTAGCTCACCACAACTCTCTGACACAAAGTGAGCTCTGCTTGATTTTACTTGGAGCAGCTTAGAGCGAACGAGTTACACAGGATCTCCCAGGCTAGAAAACAAAGACATTGCGGTGCCATGATTTCTGCTTTATATGATGCCAACCTAATTTTGCTGGCATAAGATATAGTAATCTAAATTAATATTAAAGGAGAAGAGACTATGTTAAGAATGTAACTTCTGTGATAAACAGTTGCATGAAGTAACATAGACTCTCTCTAACGCACACCCACCCAATGGTCAATTGTTTTCAGTCGACATCCACTGATTTCCTAGACTCCGATTGGATACCAGTTCTTTTAACATAGAAAACTGAAAACCTTGTATAATTTTAAAAGCTGGGGGGGGGGGGGGGAGAGGTTAGTTTTAAACTTTCCTCTTGATGACCGGTAGGTATATCCCGTCAGAAACACGCATTTTTCCACAATTTAAAATAAAATACAAAACACAATCCTTTATATGTCTACTCAGAAGTAAATCCTGTTGACTTTATTGGGGCTTATACCGAGGTAAGTGGCATAGAGTGGCCGCATTGATTTAAGCTCTGTGTAATAGATCAAGATACGCTGATACTACCACGCTTACTATACCATACATACCACACCCAGTTCTTATACCAACATTACAAAACCATCGCATTTTCTGCAGTGAGGGGTGGGGTGGGAGAGAGCTACTTTAGAGTAAGGATTCGATGCTTTACATCCTACTATTGAAATCAAGGTGTTAAAATCCCGGTTTTGATCGTGATTGAAAGATAAGACAAAGGCCTTCCTAGTGCACTTTTACTTGGAAGCAGGTCGGTTTTATCTGGTGGTGAAAGACCCATCAATGAGTGAAAAGTCATTTCTTCAATTCAAGTAACAGGTGATTACAGTGGTACCTCAGGTTAAGTACTTAATTAGTTCCGGAGGTCCGTTCTTAACCTGAAACTGTTCTTAACCTGAAGCACCACTTTAGCTAATGGGGCCTCCTGCTGCTGCTGCCGCGCCGCCGGAATAAGATTTCTGTTCTCATCCTGAAGCAAAGTTCTTAACCTGAAGCACTATTTCTGGGTTAGCGGAGTCTGCAACCTGAAGCGTATGTAACCCGAGGTACCACTGTATTATAGCGTCCGTCTATCAAGGGAAATGAGAGTCTTAACGTTGGAGGTCACTTTTTAGGCTGCACTTGCACTTTGTTGTTGTTTAGTCGTTTAGTCGTGTCCGACTCTTCGTGACGCCATGGACCAGAGCGTGCCAGGCACTCCTGTCTCCCACTGCCTCCCGCAGTTTGGTCAAACTCATGCCGGTAGCCTCGAGAACACTATCCAACCATCTCGTCCTCTGTCGCCCCTTCTCCTTGTGCCCTCCAGTTTCCCAACATCAGGGTCTTTTCCAGTGCACTTGCACTTACCTGAGAGTAACCCCCATTGAGCCCAATTTGGCTTACTTATGAGGAGACATGCGTAGGATCGTGGTGTTGAGCGTGATGTGATTTGAGCTACACACTTGCTTGGGAGCGAACCCTATTGAATTCTGTGGGACGTTCTTCTGAGACATTCTTCTGAGACATCAGACTTAGAGGGTTGTGTCATATATGGTGTCGTAGATCGATCGGAGCCCCACTGAAAAGGAGGACTCTGTTCTGTTTAATATATTCAGATGCCCAGATGTGCCCCTCAGCGCCTGTATTCGTGCCACCTTCAGAACAGAATCTTTGATTGCTGACTAATTAATATAGACTCTGCTAATTGGCCGCATTTACGAACTGAGATGAGGACCTTCTAATTCCACGTGGAAACACCCGCTGAAAGAGATCTTCCTGCGCTATTCAGCCAATCTGAAGGAGGAGCATGTAGTCCGCCTTAAGTAATTCCGGGATGCTCCATCAAACGCCAGTTGCACTGACATCAAGCAATCCGACTTCTGAGCGAGAGCTTAGATTTGGAACCATTTCCAAATGCTTGGTGACCTTTTCACTCTTCTCGCTGAGAAACAAGTGGCTATTTTTCTAACCGTTCATTAAGAGCCTGGGGTTTTGTATCTACATGTTACATTTCCTGCCCTGCACAATGATCCGTGAGTCTGTTTTTCACCCTCTGAAATCAGAAGGGAAATTGCTATGTAAACATATAAAGACCATTGGTGGGGCGGTGTTGTTGTTAAAACACACCGACACGCAAGTTTAGCCTACGAATTCGATTCAACGGCTGCCATCCGATACACGCTTACCTGGAAATAAGTCCCAACTCAATGGCATTTTCGAGTAGACATTCACAAGACTGCACTGTAGGCTGATTTGTTGCAGTGGAAAGAGTGGCACGAAACCAGCTTCAGACCGAATATTTCGGCTGAAGTAAGTTTTGGGCTGTTCTGTCCTACCTAAGGAATCCATTGGCCTTCACGGTATAATAGTAATGCTATCTATTGGCCTTTGGTACAATGGATTCTCAATGGTGACCACCTTCATAGCGGAAGGGACCGGCCAATGTGTGGAGATGACAGAACTAAACCGAGCAGCCAGATCCTTTAAGGCATGGCTAGGCAAAAGGTAGATCCGGATCGACGGTCTCTGGGCGACTTGCAGTAGATCGCCAAGGATTTCTGAATTAACAACAGATTCTGCTGGTGGTGGTTATTGTTTTCAAAATTAGGCTGGTGGGGGTAAGGAAGTTTGGGAAGAAAACCTGGAATGGATTTGTGTGTCTATGGATGGGGACCTCAGTTCTGACGCTGAAAACAAAGTCCTTGGCTGAGATGCACCCGGGGCGCCCTGTTCCTTAATGAACATAGCACCTCTCGTTCTGGGTTGCGAAGAGAGAAAGGAGCTCCCACAAACCTGAAGTGAGAAAGTTTGACGCAAATGTTTAGCTTTGATTGCCTTTTAAGTAAGTGAGATTAAAGTGTGTCCTTTTCACCTGCCACACCCCCCCACACACACACCAGCCATGCTTAAGAGCAGACACCATCCCCAAACGCTCTTTCCCAGAGAAAAGTCCCACTGATTGAGGACTGGAAAGGCTTGGCCAGCTTATTAAATCCTTACTCCCAAGTAAACGATTTTCAGAAGGGTAGCTGTGTCACTCTGTTAAAGGGAAAACTACGCCTAGTCTTGTGGCACGTCGAAGATCTCCTCAAATGTATTCATAGATTTTCTAACTCTAGACGCGTTGGGCTTCAACTACAAAAGCGCGGGATCTGCCAGGAAGGTCTCCTGCGCAAGCCCCATTGAAATGAACGGGGGCTCCACCAGAGCAGGATGGCCTGGCCTAACAACTTCTTTTTCTTCTTTGGCATCACTCATGGCTGAGTAAGATTGTCTTCCATGAACATGGAAGTGAGTCCGTAAATGACTGTGGAAGCCAATTCTGGATCCACACCTCCTTCTACAGTGGGGAAATAGGGGTTTGGGGTTTTTTTGGGGGGGGAGTTGATAACGGTGAGGGTTTGCCAAACGTGCCTTTCCCTTGGCACGTTTCTCCCTTTCGTTCTGAGTTCCAGCATCTTCAAAGTCCATGTCACCTTTGGTAAAAAGCCTGTTCTCCAATCGGAGCGCTCACAAGGCCAGCATTTCCCAGTTGTCGGCATTTATGCTACTTTTTTTAGGTTTGCCTTGAGAGAGTCTTTAAACCTCTTTTGTTGGCCGCCAGCTTTATGCTTTCCATTTTTAGGTTCGGAATAGAGTAGTTGCTTTGGCAGACGATAATCAGGCATCCGAACAACATAACCAGTCCAACGAAGTTGATGCTGAAGAATCATTGCTTCGACACTTGTGATCGTTGCTTCTTCCAGTACACTGGCATTAGTTTGCCTGTCTTCCCAAGTTGCCTAGTTGCCTCGTTGTCTAGTGCAACGGGACTTGGATATGACTGGTGTTTTTGCCAGGTGGGGTGGTCTCCGTTCATTTCAACCCTGCTTCCCGGCTGATTTTGGAAAGAAGGAATGAGTGGAGATTATCTGGATCGGGTTTTGAGTCCCTCAGTAAAGAGGAGTGAATTGTCAGTCGTCTGGATGTCTCTTTTCAGTTCGCTTCTTGAAACTTCCTCTGCAAGGTAGTTTTGTTAAAGCCAGCACAACCCTAGGCACTGCAGATTAGGGCGTTGAAAATGCGAGTATTTATTTATATTTTAACCCACAAGTCCTGGATGGTTGATGGAAAGCAAGAAGCATTTGGGGGGTAGGTGCTTTTAAAAAAACAACGAAAATGCTTGCATAAACTTCCGGTTAAAAGTTTGTAGCATTTCCCAGGTAACAGTAACATACCAAGTTCATCTATTGACTTTCCGAAATGAGGGCAACATGGTAGGGTTTTTTGTTTGCTTGTTTTAAAAAGGATGTAGTCATTGTTTAAAACCTATACATATCTACTCAGAAGTAAGTTCCCCTGAGTTCAATAGGATTTACTTCCAGGTAAGTAGGTACAGTATGCCAGCCTGTTCCTGGTTAATTCATGCGTGATAGGCTAATTTAATTCAATTATTTGTTTACTGAAGTGGGGGTGTTGAATTAGATACATATGCGAAATCCAATTAAACTGAAGTAGATCCGGGTTTCATTTAGTTTAACCCCAACACCTCGGCTGCGATCCTGAAAGTCGGTTCTTGCATAATAATAGATCAGTATGTCAGATAAATAATAGCCTCTTTCAGGCGTGTAAGATGCACTTCTGTGTGAACATTCGTGGTAGCGGAAAGCAAGTTCGACTGGCTACAGTGGGTCTATTTTCCGATTAAAGGTGTAGAGGATCTGGGGCCCCTGTGTAGTTTTTCGATCCCATAGGAACAGCCCTGTCTGTCCACATCTCGCTGCAGGAAGACTATGTGGCATTTCCGTCACCCGCTTCCTAGGAAGCAAGCAGCACTTTGCTTAAATATGAGCCCGGCAGAAGCTTCATCAAACCTTTCAAGGCCAAGTCAAGGAAGGGCCGTAGTTCGGTGGTAATACTTTTGCCTTGCATGCAGAAGGTCCCAGGTTCAGTCCCCGGCACCTCCAGGTTAGGGCTGGGGATGACCCTTGTCTGAAAGCTTGGAACCTCCCTGTCAGTGAATGTGGACAATGCCGAGCTAAACGGACCGGTGGTCTAAGGTAGCTCTATCCCTAGGGCTAGACAGATCAGCTGGAGGAGGGAGTATAGCAGGGCTGATCCCTGAAAAGCGGCATATAAGTCTCAGGAAAAAACAAATGCATACCTTCAAAGTTTAGCTAAGGCCAAACACTTAGTTAACAGCAGCAGCAGCAACTACAACAACATTAAATGGGGCCGCAGTGTTATTATTTAGGCAAGGATCTGACAGATTAATCGAGTTTTAGTCACAGTGATCCACTAAAAATATGCCCTTCTTAATCAATAGACCTCCGTTTTAAAACTTTTTAATTATTTTAAATACAAGTATCAGCACCGTCTTAAGGGAGGCATTGTGTTCCTTGTGAGAGGGACTCTATTCTTCACATGGGTCCATCATTTAAAAAAGCAAACATCGTTGCTTTTTTAATGTAAAGCCATTGCTTTTTTTCCCCGTATGAAGATTCAATGGTTGCATTAGTCGATTAGTTGACTGAAAACATGCGACCAATCGATTAGGATTTGCTTGATAAGTGATACCCGTTGTTCACTAATTTTTAAAGCCAAGCACAGCCAACGTTGTACCCCTTTCCAACGCTGTAGTCCTAATGTACAAATACCTCGGAGTCATTGTCCTGCATGTTCCATTGATTTCAGTGGGGAAAACTTATTCTGTGTTCATTCAGCTCAGTGCTGTCTACACTGAAGGGAGCCTGTGGCGCAATGGGTCAGGGTGGGTCTGACTTGTAAACAGAAGGTTGGTGGTTCGAGCCCACCCAGGGACAGGGCAGGATTCCTGTGTTGCAGAGGGTTGGACTCGATGACCCTCCCCCGCCAATCCCTTCCAATTCTACAGTTTTATGGTTCTATGAGTCTCCGGGGCTTCAGACAGGGGACATCGCCAGTCCTACCTGTAGATGTCGGGCATTGTATCTGGGACCTTCTGCAAGACTGAAGGCTCTTCCTTCCACATTCCATATTCAGCACATGCTGAATATTTCTTCCACTGAAATCTGTGTGGGGTCTGCCACCTAACGATGTCCATGCCTACTAGGAAGTTAGTCCCACTGAGATCAATGGCGCTGGTTCCAGTTCTTCTAACGAGGAAGAAGAAGAAGAGTTTGGATTTGATATCCCGCCTTTCACTTCCTTTAAGGAGTCTCAAAGCGGCTAACATTCTCCTTTCCCTTCCTCCCCCACAACAAACACTCTGTGAGGTGAGTGGGGCTGAGAGACTTCAGAGAAGTGTGACTGGCCCAAGGTCACCCAGCAGCTGCATGTGGAGGAGCGGAGACGCGAGCCCGGTTCCCCAGATTACGAGACTACCGCTCTTAACCACTACACCACACTGGCTCTCTCTCCACACAACGAGGACTTAGAAGGGCTAAATTCTGTCTCAAGGGTACCCATTCAAGGGCGGGGGAGGGGGACGACGGGACACTTAGATCAAGAAGACTATCAAATCAATATTGCTATGAAGCTCGGGGCAGGTTTACAATCCAAATACGCCTGACCTGTGGAACCTTTTTCGGATCTAGTGAACAGGAAAGAACTGGAGTCGCGTGTCGAGCCCTTTTCCAGGGAGCAAGTTCCATTCAACTCAGTGGGACCTACTCCTGGAAAAAAAGCGTGTTGGGGATTGCTCTGTCAGCCGTCGTTTTCTTGAGGACTCGGAACCCATCGAGTCAACATTTCGTTTATTTCTTAAAATAAATTCGATGTCGCTATTCATTCCCGGAAGAGTTTCAAAGTGGTTCACATTCCACAACGCAACAAACTCCAGCGTCGTGGGAAAGCACGTCCTCGTTATATGTGAACCCTGCTTCCCACGCAAAGTTGGTTTACAAAGCGGCTTCCAATTAAAAATTAAAAGTGACAGTATAAGTGTGTGAGCGTGCGTGTGTGTGTGTGTGTGTGTGTGTGAGAGAGAGAGAGAGAGAGAGAGAGAGAGAGAGAGAGATATCAAAAATAAATCTCGTTGAGTCAGTGGGACTTGATCCCAGGTAAGTGTACACAGGATTGCGGCTGCTCTCTAATGCGTGCGTGCCTAGGAGAGGAGGAGTTGGGCGGGGGGGGAATCCTTGCAGCTCCTTGACCTAGCTCTGCTTTGTTGTTTGTCTACCGGGATGGTCTGGCTGCACTTCTGAACCCCCTCGCTTGGACATCCATCCCACTGAACCCAGGGGGACTCGCTTCCAAGGCGGCGGATGAGGCTATGTATCTTGTAGTGCAGTTTCAAAAGGACTGGGGAGGTACAGGCAACCATAGCACAACTACGAGCGTCTTCAGGTTGCTCTGAACTGTATACACCGTTTACTCGAATAAAAGACCTCTAAGAAGTTTGCCATAGTTTGCTAGAAGATACTCTCTCATTCATTTCAATGTTACGTCTTTCCTCCAGCAAGCTCTCTAGGTGGCCGACATGGTACTTCCCTTGCCCGTTTTATCCTCACAACAGCCCTGTGATGTAGGCCAGGCCAACTGGCTTCTTCACAAGGAATGGGAGAGGAGCAAAATGTATTGGGCTGACTCCACAAAAGTACATAGATTAATGTGATTCATCAAGCTGGAGTTTTAAGCCTGAATAGCGGCCGAACTGCTAAATCTGAACAGGGAATCCGAGTTTAATTATCTGCTACGTTAATACTTCCCTAGTTATGGCACGCTTTGGTATATTAGGTAAATAGGGAAGCGATGCCTATCCAAACTACATCTCCCAGCATCCCTGATTATTGGCCATCCTGGGTGAAACTGATGGGAATTGGAGTCTAATATCTTGAGGTTCACATGTTCCCGTGAGTGGCAGTAGCCAATCAGATGCCTCTCAAAAGCTCAAAATAAAGTTGAGAAGCCATCTCTTGTTGGGTTTTCTCCAACACACCTGTTAATCAGTGATATACTGCACCTAACCATGGAGTTTCCACCTCACACCGACTTACAAGGCTGTTGTGAGGGGGCGGTGAAATCAGATGACAGAACGAAGCGTTTTTGTACGCATGAAAAGTGCTTCGGATAATACTGCTGATAAGATGACGGTGGTGATGAAAAAGCCCAATTTCATCATCTTTCTTTGGAATTTATTTAAGGAACCGTTGTGCAGGGAGGAAAAGCCGTACACCTGACGCTAAGAAGAGTGGAGCGTAAGAGACTAGATTTATTTTACTTTATTTTCGGCTTGAGAGGGATCTTCCGAGAGCAAAGCTCCTGGAGGATTTGCAGACGAGGCAGGGAGGGGAAGTCAGGAGGAGAATGGGGGGAAGAGAGGGGCGGGTGCTCCTATTTCTAACTCGAAACCTGTCCGCTGTGCTAAATAACACGCAGACTTGCCCACATATCCGTCCCCACCCGGGAGAGCCTGATCCCATCTCCCCAGGCCAGCTGTTCCGAAATCGAGTCCAATGTCGCCTTCCAATACTACTCCAAATGGAGATAACAAGTTACCTTTGCTTTCTCTCTCTCTCTCTCTCTCTCTCTCTCTCTCTCACACACACACACACACACACACACACACGTCGCCGTCACCGGACCCTAATATATGCAGCAGTTGCCAGATCGACTGCGGGTGGAGGGAAGGAGCAATGTATAACGAAAGCTTTAGCCGTGCGCAGGAATATACTAATGGCACAATCTGATGCCTCGTTAATCCTATGTAAAAAGCTCTGTCGCCTTCCCAATATTGACTGAATGGGTAATTAATGGCTCTTCATCTAGGCGAATAGTCGGTAATCCGAGGCAGGCGAAAGACAACAAGCCAATGGGTTTTAAAAAGAGAAAGAAAGACAACGACAACAGGTCTATCCAGAGGCTCTGCCCGAGCGCCAACCGAGTCATTTTGCAGAAGTGCAGACCCGGGCGCTTTAGTGAGATGGAAATTGGTGGGAAGCTCATCTGCTCCAGCAAAAAAGATTTCTTTTTTTACTTCTCCCAACCAGTTACCTCAGGATAAAATGGCTGGAATTTGTTTTTTAATTTTTATTTTCTCCCTACAGCGGTTTCAAGAGAAAACTGGTTTTTCCCGGGTGTAGAATGGGGAGGGGGGGGTCTGTAAGCACAGAGAAACCCAGTCCCTATTTATTCCAGATTGATTAGTGGTCCACTATGGGATGCTAAAAAGCCTGTTGATCTAGAAGGTGCAGATTTTGTTATTACAGAATTCTAGATCTTGTCAAATTAAAATTTGCCTGGCCGAATCAGAGTAGTAATAGGCCCCATTTGCTCTCCCTTGGGTCCATTGCCGGATCAAGGATGGACAACCTTGACCAGGGACCATAGTAAATGTATCCGGCCAGAGCAGACGCTACCAAATTTTAACCAAGGTGAGATTAAAAAAGAAAGATAGTGGGCGACCTCGTTCAAGTTGTAAGAAACCTGAATACTATTACATATTTTGGGTGCTGGATGCAATGGCCTGAGGATGAGTGAGCAGGTGTGCTCCTGTTTTCTGCATCTCCGTTTCAAAACATCTGAGATGAACTCAGTTGTTGGGGCAGGGTTCCCCACGACTTGCTTACCGAAGATTCATATTGATTTGTTTGCGGGGAGGTTAGACGACGTTGCCTATTTAGCGAGCATCCACAGTGATTTGTATGAGAGAAGATTAGACAACTTTGCATCAATTTACTATCATTATTTATTTCGCATTTATAGTCCACCTTTCCTCCAAAGGGTTCGAGGTGGCTTCCCTTTCCCTACATGATCCTCACAAGAACCCTGTGAAGTGGGTCAGACTGAGAGGCAGTGGTTGAGCCAAGGTCGCCCTAGTGAGTTTCATGGTTGTTGCGGGTTTGAACATTGGCCTCCCAGCTCCTAGTTCGAGACTCTAACCACTACATCACGCTGCCTGTCCCACACTCTCCAGTGCATTTCTCCGTCGCTTCCTTTGGAAATCCCGTCTTTTTTGGGGGTGGGGAGTTTGGGTCCAACTCTAATTGCGCAGCCAGAATTTGCCGGTATGTGATTGAACTCCATTCGAAAATACCGACAGCGCCCTCCGTGTGTTAAGGTTGGACACTATGCTGGACAGTTGATGTGAGCCATCTCTGGCAAACTGAAGAGGAAGTCCGCAAGTCCCACCAGGTTGGTGCACACACGTTCCAGAGGGAAGTCAATGGACTCCGTTTAGGGTTCAGATGCTCAGGGCTAGATCCACCAATCTGTGAATAACTTTTCTGAGCGCAAAGAGCGGGATATTTGGCATGCTGAGAGTGGCAGAGGGGAACATGGCTGCGCACACGTAAGGCTTCTTCTTAAACAGACTGTGGAGCGAGAGAAGCAGGAAACCAGGCGGGGAGGAACTCCAATAACCAATGCCTCCGAGACCCACTGTGTGCGGCTAATGTTGCAGCCACAGAGTGGAGATGCAGGTTATCGGGCAACTCTGAGCTAATCGGTCCGATCTACCTCACAAGGCTGTTGTGAGATAAAAAGGCCGTTTGGAAACGCGTGGGTGGGATGACCACTAAATATCAAGGTAATGATAACCTTTTATTGATCCAAGATATTTCAACTAATAATAATAATAATATAATAAACAACTAACACCAAGTGGTTGTCGTCGTCGTCGTAACAGTAGCAACGGTAGTAGCGGCATTTATTCTATTTAATAACTCTTCTCATTGGTGGCAGTGGCCTCCCTTGGTCAGAAGGCCGAGATATAAATGTAACAAACAAACAAATCGCATTCCATTTCAGCATTATCGTTAAGAATATTTATTCCATTTGTTTGTTTATGATGTTGTTCCAGTTGTAGCAGCAGCAATTCCAGTAGCAGTGATAGTATAAATGGACCAAGGAAATGAGGGGTGAGAGAAAGAAAGGAGAACGAAGTACCGTCTTGCGCCTCCTTCGCTACAGTCTTTTCAGATTTCAAGTGGGCTCTACGGAGGCAGAGCGGGGTGGGTGGGTGGGGCAATTGTAGACAATTCTGAATCGCTCTGGAAGCGTTTAGGCCCCATGGCGTCAAAGATTCTGGCAGATCCTTCCTGGTATTCTGGTATTCTCTTCCCTCTTGTTTCTTCAAAGGCGCGTGCAAACGTTGTGTTCGTCTCCAACCTGATGAAGTGATGCCTGCTGCTATAGTCGCGATGGCTAAATGATATCTCACCTCCAGGAAAAGACGGCTGGGAAGAACAGCGGTTAATGGAGGGCTCTGGCGCTCAGGTCCTGCTTAGGCGCTCCCTATAAACACCCAGCTGGCCGCTGAGGGATAGAGAATGGTGGTCTGAGCAGGCCTTTGTTCTGATCCAACGGGGCTCCTCTTGTATCTTCTTATATCTTGATTCCATAACTCTATTCCTAATTGGTTAATCAATTAAGAACTACAACAACTCAGAATCCTGATACTGGAACCTTTGCTTACTGATTTCTGGCGATCTTCGTTCGTAAAGTATAGGGAAACCCATAGGAATTATTTCAGGACAATTCTATTGTCTATTAGAGAACTCAACCCACAAACCGGTTAAGACGTAGTATTAGACTTTAAGCCGAATCAATGGAACTAATCCGGTTTAAATCCTAACACTTCAGTTTAGCTATGCATCCCTTTATGGCCAAATGCTTGCCTTACTGGAGCGTAGCTTCTGCTTCAAAATGATCGGCTGATTCTGGGGGCTAAGTCTCTCGTATACCTGAATTTACTCTGGATTTTTAAATTGGCTTTTTGCTTCTTTAAAACATAGGGGACGTTGTCTCTTGTGCGGTTTATTAACCACAGTCGCTTAAGAATATCATTGGTTATCACTTAGCTATGGTTATAAGTATCCTAGAAAATCGAAGTGTCATTGAAATATCACTGAAAGTATGAGATTTGTTTCCAAGAAACAACGTGGTTACCAAAATGTAGCGCTTGGAAGAGGGTGCGAGACAGACCCCTTGATTATCAACCGGTGGTGAGGGAATATTTAATTTAATAAGGCAAAGATTGTCACCAGATGAAGAGGTGAGATCTAAACAGACTCCCGTTTCGAGTTCAGCGTTTGAATGGTCATTTGGATGGATGGATGGATGTGAGTCTTCGCTGGCCACAAAGCAAGGAACGCACCCTGGTTTCCCCAAATTTATTTAAAACTGTCAGCGTTGTACTTGGCAAGCAGTAGTCATTTCCTTCTTGCTGTTAAAGAGTCAAGTAATTCAGTCGGGTATGGCAGTCGATGCTAAAGGCGGGTTGGAACAGAAACGAGGGTAAACTTATAGAACTGGATGGATCATTTGCTAAGCGCAACGTGCAACTGCTGGACATTGTTGCATCCAAGGCCACAAGATGTTCCTACTTTAAAGAAACTCACCCTATATTTGTTGACTCAAAAGGGTAAGAATGTATAGGATTGCAGCCGACGCAACGGCCATCGGGAAATTATCCTGAACTCTGCTCATTGCCAGGAATCGGACTTGAGCAATGTCTGATGGGTCTTGTGCAAGAAAGTCCTAGTTTATGGAGGGGGGTGGTAGCGCAAGAAAACGCCGCCTTGTTCCTGCCTTAGGTTGCAATCTTACGCACATTCACCAGGAAATACGTTCTAGCGAATACTGGACTGCCTCCCCCGCCCCCGTCTTCACGTCCTGCTCAGGAATAGAGCGATAAACAACTCAGAGTGCAAGGAATGGTGTGGGACTCGAGAGAGGGCAGATTTTGTTGGGTTGGTCGGATGAACAAACAGTTTAAGAAATCAGAACAGTTTCGCTCTTTCTAGCGTAAGAGTAGTCTCCTTTCTCTTTCCAAAACCAAAGGTTGGCTTTGGCCAGTCTGAACTACAAAACAAAACTCTGCCGACCGACAGGCCCTGAGCTAGCATTGGATAAAAGGAAAGCGGCGCCACACACCTCTCGCGAAAAACACACTTTTCTGTCCCAGAAACCTCCCCTACGGAAGCACATGTCCCCTATGAGCACCTGCAGATCTTGTCCTGATTCCTTATCTAGAGAGAGCAGCCCACAAGTTGTAGTGATGGCCACCAGCTTGGATGGCTTTAAACGGCTATTAATTCACGGAGGATAAAGTTGCCAGTGGCTATGAGCCACAATGGTCATCTTCTGTCTCCTCTGTCGGAGGCAGGATGGTTGTGAATATCAGCTGCTGGGAAGGTCCTGGAAGGAGACTTCCAGCAGACATCTGGTTGGCCTGAACGAGCTACCCTACTAGATGGGCCAGTGGTCTGATCCACCAGGAATTTTCTCATGTTTGTTTTGGAGGTACCACTTTAGATCTTGCCCACAGCTGGGGATGGACCATGCCTCAATGGCAGAGTACTGCTTACGTGAAGAAAGTCCCAGGTTTCAGGTAGCATGTGGTGTGAAAGCCTGAAACCCTAAAAAGTAAACAGTCGTGGACTGGATGGAGCAATGATCTGACTCAGCATAAGACATCTTTGTTTGCGTCTATAACAGGTACATTCTCGGTGAAGGTAATTCACCTTGGTCGGTGGGTGGTTTGTGAGTCATGCAAACGCTATGACACATATTTTTTACAGTCTTTATGTTTAATTTTGTTTCTGTTTAATATTGTTACTTATGAATTCCCTATCGATTCACACACCCCATTTATTTTCTCGGTCTTTTCCAGAACACCGCCCCCCCCCCCAAGGCTTTTGAGTAGAGCTAGCATCTAAGGCCCAGCATGGAAGAATCTCCCAGATAAGTCCCGGAGAAGGTGCATCCCTAACTATCCCAGCAAGACGAAACCTGGGCAGTTTTCATTTAGGGAAACGCCCAGATAGTCACACAACAGCCCACTTGTTCCTTGCAATCTGCCTAGGTCTCATTCTGTAGTTTACTTATCAGAACAGTTAATCCCGCTTTGACCCATTTTAAACACATTGACTTGGAAGTTCCCATTGATTGCACTTGAAGGTTCTTGGAAGGCAGTTCCATCGAAATCAATGGGATTTGCTTCCTAACAATTCTGTTTAGGGTTGGGTTGTTGTTTTTATGCGGCTAATCATTGTCTTCTACATTACCCAAAAATACACGCACTTCTCTTTGCTTTAGCTCAGAGCACACAAATTCTCCTCTGACCTCCCTTGCCAAGCAAAGGTGTTTAGGGCGGTATACGAAATGGGGACGGATAGAAAAGATACCTCAAACACCTGAGCATATCCTAATCGCCTTCCTATGGACATATAAGGTCCATTAGCCAAACTCTTCGTTTGTGTTTTTATATCTTTATGATTTCTGGACTCCAGGAGCAAGGTGCATATTTTTTGCTTGCTTAAAACGCTGGAATGGTTCCTTAACGCATTTTTTAACTGCGCATCTGCACACGGAAGCTATTTTCGGGTTAAGAGGCTGCAGTCCTATAGCAACTCTTCCTGAGAGTAAGCCCCACTTACTGACAGGTAGACATGGATAGCATACTGCACTTGAAATGGATCTTGTCGAGAGGGCAAGGAGGGGCTGTAATCCGCTTTAGGGGGGTAGCATTCCGAATTTCTTGAAACGGGATCAAAGTGCTGATCTTGTCTATATGGGAACAGACATTCCAGGCTATCGTCCATTTCCTTCCTCTCTCTCCCCAATCCCGTCCAGCTTGCTTTGCAGCGAAGGTGGAGGAAGCTTCCGCCCTGTCTCCCAGGGTAGGTCTTGCCTTCCCATCCTCGCTCGCCGCGCCTGGAGTGGCTGGTTGCCTCCTGCAACGGCTTCCATTGATTCAGAAGGGCCTCAGGGGATTTGCGTGGAGTGTGAACCCCCCAGTCGCCCCCGGGAGGTTAAGCAGAAACCGGGATATGATTAGTAAACAAATTGTGCAGAAAGGCGCTGGATTCTTATTGACTTACTTATAGGTCATCTGCTGCCGGTGCTGTGGGAAAAACTATTTACTTTACACATATACTTTATGATCTTGGGGGAATTAGAGGAAATTCAATAAGAAAACGGCTAGAATCGTTTAAAAACCCCTATTTAAAAGACTTAAGGAAATTAGAGTCTTATCAGATTAAAATCCACTACAAATGTAAGAATATTGTCTCCATCGAAACGCAGTGGGGTCTAAGGAAAGCGGTGGAGGGGAGAGACAGAGAGGGAGCGCCTTTGTCAAATCGCAGGGATAAACCACGTCATTTAAACACCGGGATAATGAGCAGAATGTAAATTAATTTGACCTTCTTTACCAACAGACTGCTAAAACAATACGCAGACTAGTTTAGCGGTCTCGAAGCGAAATGAGGAGGGATGAGATGGAGGCAGAGAATCCAGAGGACCACCATTAGTCTGGAGGAGGGTGGTGGTGATATTGGGGATGGTTTGCAGAGTCCCCCTCTCAGCCAAGCTGGGTGCTTTTTATCTCCACAATTTGGAGAATGGAGGCATTTGGACCAACTGCGCCTTAGCTTGTCCAAAAGCCTTCTGAGATGAGCTAAGGCGGGTTTTAGCGATACCATATGGAAGCTTCAACCTCGCCGTGGCCCTCAGGAAAATTAAACCATGGCAAAGGAGTACTTCTACTCGGGAGTAATCAGAGTTGATAACTGCGAATATGGAGTCAAGAGAGGTAGTTATTTCGTATTAACAAATGTGGGAGGGCAAGATTGTGATCTGTTGTATGTATGCGGTGCTTAGATGATTCTTGGGGCTAGGGAGAAATTTGGCAAAGTGCGTAGCACTGAGGAATCCACTAGATCGGATGTGTTTTCTATCATCTTCTAACTATTTAGGCTTTGGGATTAATTCTCTCTTCCTGTGTCGGTATAACAGCCTCCGTCCTCTCTCGGGAATCTCTAATCTAAATGGGCATTCTGACCAAGCAAAGGATCCCTCAGCATGGTTAACAAAATTTCTGTTTCCAACGATTCTGTTTTCGTTCCAGCAAAGATTGTACTATATTGTCACACTTTAAAAAACCAAACCCGAAGAATATTAGCAAATCCCGCATGCAGAGCGCGATAGGAAGCTCATACAAGGGCATTGTTTGTACTGAATTGTCTTAATTAACCTAACTTTCTCTCTCGCTCTAATACAGATAGATGGATGGACATTTATTCTTGTGCGTAAGAATATATCAAAGTCCTTTTATCGTCATGGCAAAAATGTGACATTGTGCGTGTGGGGAAAATAATTCCGGGAGAGAGAAGGAACGGAAGTTTTCCTTATTGGGGATGCGATAGTAAAGAACGAATTCTGAAGACATTTATTGGGAAGGGGCTCCAATGGTTTTAAATAACGCTTACCTGGGGTTGCGTTCCAAAGGAATCCACCGTGAGACTTGTGGTGGGGTTGTGTTAGTGCCTCAAATCAGAGTTTAAACAAGGATCAAATTTAACCTAGCATATCGATCGTATAGTCTATTTATATGGTTTTCACTTAATATAATTTACATTGTTTAAATTATATATATAAAGGGTCCTCTTCTCCAGTCCGTCCCCCCCCAATAGCGTTTGAATAAATGTATGGATGACATTATATTGGCATATTAAAATAAACGGAGGATAATTTAATTTGGGGGGTTATTTTAACTGAAAATAAAGAAAATGATGGGACTGACCGCGCGATGTTATTGCACGTTTATTTCAAAGCAAGCCTTTTGGACTTCCCACGGAACTTTCCCCCAACTTTTCCCCAATAATTGGTTTGCAAATTAATATGCTTAGGACTGAGTTACAAAATAAGAAATAGAAATATAGTTTAATGGGTTCTTTGATTTTTTTTAAAAAATAAAAAGTATTGAATTTGAATGAAAATTTGCATTCATGTATATATTTTTATTACGTTTATATATCGCCCTTTCAAATTCTGTGGGTGGTATGTATAGACAATTGAAAAACTGGCCGTCTCTCTCCATATATCTTACTTTGGACTAGTAGTAATTCATGTTTTCCAAAATGGAAATTTTAAGCGGTCGTGTTTTGTGTCGGTGTACATGGCATATTTCCCGAGTACTTTTTCATTCGTGACTGCGAGCCGTTCAGACACTTGCCGCCTTAAGAGATGTGCTTTCCTCACGCTTCCAGCCGGCAAGTCTGCTTTTAAGGCTTGCCACGGGCTTGGTGGCGCATTTATTTTTTAAGATTTTCTCTTTAAAGTGCGATTTATTTTCTGAGTCATTAAGACGAAGCTTCCGAGGCAGGAGAAAGAGTCTTCTCAATGCAGCAAAAACTGTCTCTCCCGGAGAGTTAGGTGTCGGTTTTCTAGTCATTTTATCAAAGTTATTTGTGGGGCATATCTAGCTGTCTCCTGATGTTTTAAAAAAGTAAGAGTTGGAAAGCGTTCTGCAAATTACAGACGCCTTCAGAATAAAATTGTGTTTGTGAATAATCATAATAATATTGCTTCCATAGGAGACGACTTTCCTCGTTCTTATTTTATACCTCCCCACTTTGCTCCCTTGCAATGCAAGGCTTTGAGAGAAGACCTGACTGGAAGAGCCGTAGGGGAGGAGGGGGAGAGAAGAGAGCAAGACTTTTAATTTAGCCCTGCCCTAAGTTTCTGATAGGGTGGTCTTATTATAGCCTTCGCCGGGGCGTAGCGCCTCCTGATTGGCTGCGGCGCGCGTCACTCCGAGTCTCAGCGGCGAGTCTAGGACGCGGGGGAGGCAGGAGGGAGGGCAGAGAAGGGGGCCGGGTGATATCATCGCCCCGGGAAGGCCGCCTCTGGGTTTAAGTTGTTAGGCAAACAGGGAAGCTGCTGAGCTGCTCGGGGTCCGTCGCTCGCCTGGGCTGGGTAGACCGGAGCGAGGGGAGACGTGCAGCGACCGAGAGGGGCTTGCGCAGCTAGGCAAAGCTGACCGTCGAGGCTCCTGCTCTTGCAGCAGCCGCCCACGCCTTGGATCTAATACAGTCGACCTGCGCCTGTCACTCTGGCCCGGCCCGCGAGTCCGTCGGCAGACTGGTGATTTATTCATGGTCGGCGCGGTCCGCCGCGGGAGTCTACGGCGGAGGGTGCCTTCGCTCTTCTTCGGGGTTTCTCCTGCTTTCGCCCGCAGAGGCTCATGCGACGGGGCGGCCGCCCGTCGAGAGGAGGTGGAGGAGGAGGGCAGCGACGGCGGGGGGCAGCAGCGTCGCCTTGAGAGCCGAGCAGGGCTGCCTGCTGCGGGAGAAGTGAAACTGACACAGTGAAACTGACAAGGAGGCGGCGGAGGAGCTTCTCCGGCCGCGTCTCCCGCGCCGAGGGCTGCGCCTCTGTCCACACACGTAGCGCGCACATCCACACCCAGTGTGCAGCCCCCGGCAGCTCGGGCTGGCTCCCGCAGCCCGATGAACTGCCTGAAAGAGCCGCTGAGACTTGAGCGGCTGGTAGCCGGGAATAAACTGTGCTGCTCCACCTCCCCTTCCTCCGCTTCCTCCACCTCCTCCTCCGCCTCTTCCTCCTCCTCCTGCCACCACCACCACCACCAGCCGGCCCTGGTCATGGCTTCAGCCCTGACCCCCGGCCAGCCGCGCTCGGCCTTGGATTCTGCCAAGCACCGGCTGGAGGTGCACACCATCTCCGACACCTCTAGCCCCGAGGCCGCAGGTAAGGGTTCTCCGCCGGCTCCACGCTGCTTCTCTTTCCCTCGCCACACCATCTCATTATTCTGATTATCAATACAGAGTCTTGGGGGATTAAACTGGGTCCTGTGCTGAGGACGCATAGTGAGGGATTAGAAGGAGAAGGGAATGGAACTATAATTGCAGATGGCACTGCCTTTGTAGCTAGATTCTGGGAAACATTTGGTTTCTCCTTTTCTGTCGGGAAACAGCGGGTGCGCGGGGAGGCAGAAGAGTTGCACACACGCCCGGCAAATCCAGGCATTTGTCACTGAGAGATAGAAACCTAGCAGGAAAGACAGCAGGACCCGGGCTTGTAACTGGAATGCAGTCTCCGTTGTGATTTAGCCAGACCATCTCAGTAAAAGAGCGGTGATTGACCCTGTCACTCTGAAATGTATTTAAAAACAAACAAGCGGGCTCTATGTAAAACAGCACTTACTGCATCTAGTACAAATGTAGTCGAAGCTCTAGGTGAAATTTAATTCCAATAAAGGTACTGTATAGGAACCCTGTAGGATCCTGGGGGGAAAGAGAGTTCAGATTTGCCCATGGATTTCCATCTATCCATAGTGGTTTCCTTCCAGTGAGTCTTATTGAATATAGTAGGATTGGATTCCGATGAAATATGCATAGGATCGTGGTGTCAAAGGACCCTTTGCACGCTTGCTTGGGAGTAAGTTCGACTCGAATCAATGGGAGTTACTTCTGAGTAAACGTGCGTGGGCTGTTAAACTGCTACTTCAGGGGCGCACTTCAACCAGCCAGTCCTAGTTGAATACACTGGGACTTGCTTCTGAGTAAGCGTGTTTAGGATTGGGCTGTTTGATTGCAATCCGAAGTACACCTACCTATGACTGTTCCGTTAAACTGAGTGGAGCCTGGAGGATTGGCTACTTCAATTTAAGTGTTTCTGCTTGACCGAGGATGCAATGACATATATCTTCATCCAACCCGATCCTACCCATGGTTACTCGGAAGTAAACATGTCCGATTAAAATAAATGATATTTGCCTTAATGAAAACATGCCCAGGAATTGCAGTCGTATGTGCTACAGAGACTGCAACTATCACCATGAGCGAGAATGTAGGGGTCTTCACTGGGCTTAATGGGGGCAATCCCAACAACTTTGAGATAAACACATTTAGTTCTGAAAATACATTCCATCTTTAAAGACACTTCACACTCTCATTAACTTCAATGGGTGGCATTAAACTAAGTTTTACTGCGAGCAGACCCACTTTAATGAATGAACATGCCTTTGTTTGGGCCATTGATTTCAATAGATCTACTCAGAGTAAAACTTGGCCGAATACCGTGCAATGTGAGTGGAAGTTAGACCGACTCACCGATTTAGGACACATTATTGTAACATAATTTCTGGATGCTCGATCCGTGAATCAGCACCAGAGTGGCCTTGTCTAGATACAGGAGAACGATGTAGCATAGTACACCAGTATTGCTGCAATCTTTGTAGGTATTTCGGAGGAGAGCCTCAGTAAATGCAGAGCCGTGTTCGATTTTAAAGATGTGCCTGTGCACACAGCTGTATTGATACAGATGCAATATACACGAAGTCTGCAGCAGTTGCACAGCGTGTACTGTCCGTGCAAGAGGTATTTTATACCTGTTACATATAACGAATGCACCTAGGTGTAACGCTCAATTCGAATTAATTTAGGGCAATCCTGAATCACAGTCCCATACTTCTTGTAGTGTGAGGGGGGGAAAGCTTTCCGTGACATCACTGAAGGACTTCCGTGTGCGTAAGAAGGTGGCCTTCAGATTTGCTGTATTAATCTCGTATTGGTGCACACTTTTAAAAGGAAGCACTTGGATTGAAGTCGATATACATTCTAAAACTTAACTCCTGGGATATAAGTGGCAACGTTTTTAATAGCGCTGAAGGACACAGCCTGACTTTTCAGTCCGAAGCACGGTTACTTTTCAATTTATGGCCTTGGGTTTTCCTATTTATCTGGTGTGTGTGTGTGTGTTTCATTCGGATCCTAAGCGCGTTTATTTCAGCGCAAACCTCATTGCTTCCAAAGAAACTACTTCCGTAGCCTTTATTTGTATTACAGTTTTAGGAGAGCAGCTTTTGGATTGGGCTTGTTCACCCCTCGATCTTTAAATAAAATCTATGGAAGTAGATACCCTGCGTTCCGATTAGGCCGACTGGCTTCAAAACAAGTGCGCTTAGAACCGCATGTTTCTCCGCCGGTTCGCAACGACCCATCCCCCCCCCCCGGCTACTTCGGCTCAACCGCCTTGGGAAGAGCGCCGACTGCGGGCCGCGGGCCGGTTCAGCGGGGCCGCGGAGCGCTTGGGCTGATCCCCTTCTCCCTCCGCCCGCCCTTTTTCTCCCCGCCCCCCGAATCCCAATCCGCGCCAGCCTGTTGACCCGCGACTGCCTTTTCCTTTGCAGAAAAAGACAAAAGCCAGCCCAGCAAGAATGAGGACGCGGGCGCCGAGGATCCGTCCAAGAAGAAGCGGCAGCGGCGGCAGCGGACGCACTTCACCAGCCAGCAGCTCCAGGAGCTCGAGGCCACTTTCCAAAGGAACCGCTACCCGGACATGTCGACTCGGGAGGAGATCGCCGTCTGGACCAACCTCACCGAGGCCAGAGTCAGGGTAAGGGTAAGGGGAGCCCCGAGCGATCTGCTTTGTTCTGTATCTGTGAATGTTGGAAGAGGCAGCAGCGAGGCGAACGAACCTGAGTAGCTTGGCTGGCGCAGGGAAGGCGCCGCTTTCGATTTGGCCTCCTTTTCGAGGCGGGCTTTGGCCCCGGCGCAGCGCCTCTCTGCTTCCCTCTCAGGCCGAGGCAGGCTGCCATCTTCTCCGAATATGATGGATGGCTGCGCGGCGTGTTCTGAACTGGATGTGTACTTTATGGGAAGCGTCGCCAAGAAAGCTTCCCGGGGCAGGCTCCGACGTGTGCGCAGCAGCCCGAGATGCGCAACACACGAGGCCTCTGACTCCATCGAAGGCACCCAAAACTTGCCCTTCCTTGCATTCTTCCTTCCCTCTCCCCACCCCTCGCTCGCCCCAAGCACCCTCAGGTTTCACAACAACGGTGGCTTTCTCCCCACCCACGCCACCCCTTTCTTGCCAAGATTGATGGATCGATCAGAGTGCTAAAACGCAGCAGAATCGTGCACTCCCGTCTCCGGGAAATCAAAGTGGGGGGAAACCCAGATCACAGCCCCAGGTCTGTATATATGGAAGAAAGTCCCGTGAAAAGAGAGGCAGTGCGGGTGTCCTCATACAAGCTTCCCTCTGTAGGGATAGTAAGTTGCAACTCTGTGGGCCTTTAAAACCTTTCGAGTTTGGTATATCCCCCTCCTAGCCGGCTTGCAAAGAGCTTTAGAACTGCAATTGGTGGCTAAATTACTTTAGAGTAATCCCGTTAGGATTGCTATGAGGTCAGGAGATTTGAGGAGATTAAAGAAAGTCCCAGCGCAATCCATGAAACCAGGAGCGGGGATGTTCAGCGTGTTGCTTACTCTCTTTAAAAAAACAACAACAAATAAATACATAAAACAGAAAATAAGGCCTCCTCCTTCTCAAATGTAAACCATGTTTGTTTTGGTTAGAAGCGTGAAAGCCTTCCCAAACAAATGTTACCTGGAATAACGACATTTGTAGTCAACAAGACTTACTCCCAAGAAAGTGTGTAGGGAATCAGAGCGTTTTTAAAAAATAAAAACCGCCTGGTACCTAAGTTAATGTAGGACCCGTTCATATCTCTGTTTCTTATTCCCAAGTAAATGCGATTAGGACTTGGGTGTAAACAGCGCAAAAATAATAATGCTTTAATATATATATATACTACAATTTAAATTGGGGTTTTGGATTAGACCAGTGCGAAATGCGAAATGTTGCATTCATTGGAGGAATCAGTTTTTGCTACAATGCTTTGGAAACAAACAAATCCCAGAGATTTTAATTAAAAAATATGGGAGTCTGTAGAGTTTGGGCTCAGCTGCTTAGTGGAAATAAACAAGGAGTAATTTAAAAAAATCTAAAGGGACACAGAGGAATCTGGTTGTGTTGGCTGTTGACTCAATTCAGGCTGGGTGTCTATTCAATAGCCGCGCATTTAAACGAAAATGTCTAGATTTAAGCCGATGGAGCCTCCTGCCCTATCTTTAGAGTCCTCCCCTCTCGAAAACAAAAGGAGCTTAATTTTATTGAAAGCTGCCGCACTTACTTCTAAGCAAGTAAGCGCACTCACGACTTTGTGACATTTTGGTTAGGCCTAATTAAGGTTTTTACCATACCATGGCTTTGAGATTTATTGATTTTTTTTGTAATAAATCAACAAAGCTACCTACATGGTGTGTGTGTGTGTGTGTGTGTGTGTGTGTGTGTGTGTGTGTGTTCTAAGTAACTGAGCCGGCAAAGCAGTTGGGTTTAGTGGGGTTTGCAATTCTCTACAAACCGTGGTTTTACTGGGGAAGAACTCGCAGTGGCCTGCTCCCCAGTAAGGATGCATAGGAGAGCAGTCTCCTAAGGGGGAAGAGATGCAACTAGGTCAGTTTATGTGGAAATGCGATTGTAGAAAAACTGGCTCTTTTTCTATAAGAAGCTTGCGCTTTTGTGTTGGGGGGGGGGCGGGGAGTGTCAGCTTGCCCTCAAGTCCCTCCTGCAAATGTGCTGGCCTGTAACGTTTTAAAAATATGACTTTGAAAACGCTGGCAGTGGAGAGGTGAACAGCTCCCCTCCCCCATTTACAGGTTTATTTTCCCCACTTCTTTGAAACCTGGAGACGGCCGTGCATGTGCTTTGGAGAATGTAGCGTGTTATGTTTGGGGGAAAGTGGTGGTATTCGCGGGCGCTGGGTATTGGGTTTTATTAGGCGTCTGCGAGCGAACGGTGCAGTCGAAAGGGAGATTTGCAACGTAAAACACGGGCTGTGTAAACAGAACGGGAAGAGCCCCGCGACGGTTCGAATCCACATAATAACTTTGCAGGCGGCCGACTGGCAAATCAGGCGGCGGGATGTGGATTGGAGCGAGACACACGCCTTCGCCATTGTCTGCGCGGCGGAGGCTGTTGCCCTTTAGCACATAGTGAAAAGGGCAACTTTGCCAAACGAGCAGAGGACAAGATGGGGCGGACGTGGTTTGGCTTTACTGGCGATTAGCACATGAAAGGGACTGGTCCCTTTAACAAGCTGTTGAAGTAAAGATTTACGACGGCTTGCCCAGTTATTTTTATTTCAAAAATATTATTATTGTTCCTACCTCTTGTTTCTAGAGAGGAGATATCGATGGGATTAAAAATGCATTCTGTTCCTCGGTTTGGGAAAGAGGGCTGAGGTTGTTAAAAGTTGGATTCTCGTGCAAACTCAGTGTTTTCTTTCTTTGTGGTAAATCGAGGGAGGGGGAAACTGAAAGGTGGAGGAGGGGGAAGGAGCCCATCCCCTTTGTTCGCGATCTCCCTGAACAACAAAATGAATGGAGTGCGAACCGAATGAAGGATTCCACCTACAAGCGAGCAGAAACCAAAGCGGCAGATAGATAATATATAGGACGTTTCCTTGGCCGGGCGTCAAATCCTGTGATGAATGACACGAGCATTTGCACTACAAGAGATATTTTGTCATATATAGGTGGAGATATTCAAAAGCAGCTTCAGTCAGGGCCCAGTTAGGCGGTTTTCGTCCCTCTGAAAGGAATGAGGCCGGCGCTCTAAAGAGAAACAACGGGGATCTATTGCGTAGATCCAGTGCATGCGGGATCAAATATTCTCCCACAGCCACTGTAAATTGCTTTATCAGGCTGTAAAACGTGCTAAGAAAGAACGGGGGGGGGGGGGGCAATGCTCTTAAGACCGGCTTCTGCTTCGGTTTCTGGTGCCCCAGCCTTAACAGATTTACTCGGGAGTTAGTATCGCCGATTTAAGAGGGACCCAAGCAAGAATGTAGACCTAAGGATCATGCGCACGTTTTCTGGGCGCAAGTCCCTCTGAGGGGCTCTGGGTTCCAGCCGTAGACCCCGATGCGATGCACGTTGACCGGAAAGTAAGTGGAACCGAGGGTCAATAGAGATGATTCCCAAGTCAATAAACTTGGACTGGCAGCCACAAGGTCGGCCCCTATACGTGTTTTCTGGGAACTGGGAAGCAATTCCCAATGACTTCCAACTAATCCCTGTACAGAAGAATCCATAGGATCGTAAACGAGGCTCCAATGATTTGCAGTGGCAGCATCAGGAAGGGGGAAAAACATGGGGCGGGGCAGGTTGAGACATAAGTACATTTTGTGGGTGCTTCCTCCCCCATGTTAGATTTATGAAAGATAAACATAGGCATCTTCTGCAGGCTCCCATCCTCAACGTATTTTCTCTGCCCGAATTGTGTCTGATGGCGTTATTACTTTTCAAGGCAGCAGGCTTAGAGGTTTTGCAGCTTTGTTTCAAAACCGTCCCGTTTATGGTTCAGTGCGAGTTTGTACGTGGAAAGTGCTTCAGTAGTGTGTGTTTGGGGGGCAGGGAGGGGTTAAGAGCCAACTGTGCGTGGTGGAAGGCCGCTGTGAGAACAGGGCGTTAGGCTAGGTCTCATCCAGCAGGCTCTTCTTGGGTTCTAGACTTCCCTCTACCCTTCATGCTGTACCCCAAAGTTGCTGGAGCCCCAGGGCTCCAGGAGGAGGACATTATTGGTGTCCTCCTCGAAGTTCTGGAGATGCTTGCGCGGCGCGCGGGTCTGCTTTGCCTTCCCTATAGTGACCGGCTTTCTTTCCCCCCACCCCCATCCTTCTCCTTGTTTTGTTGCCCCCCCTTCCCTTTCACTCGTCGCTCCCCTCCATTGCAGGTTTGGTTCAAGAACCGCCGGGCCAAGTGGCGGAAACGCGAGCGGAATCAGCAGGCGGAGCTGTGCAAGAACGGCTTCGGGCCGCAGTTCAACGGGCTGATGCAGCCTTACGACGACATGTACCCGGGCTATTCCTACAACAACTGGGCCGCCAAGGGCCTGACGTCGGCGTCGCTCTCCACCAAGAGCTTCCCCTTCTTCAACTCCATGAACGTCAACCCGCTCTCGTCGCAGAGCATGTTCTCGCCGCCCAACTCCATCTCGTCCATGAGCATGTCTTCCAGCATGGTGCCCTCGGCGGTCACCGGCGTGCCCGGCTCCGGCCTCAACAGCCTGAACAACTTGAACAACCTGAGCAACCCCTCCCTCAATTCGGCCGTGCCCACACCCGCCTGCCCCTACGCCCCGCCGACCCCTCCTTACGTTTACCGGGACACGTGTAACTCTAGCCTGGCGAGCCTGAGACTCAAAGCTAAGCAGCACTCCAGCTTCGGCTACGCCAGCGTCCAGAACCCGGCCTCCAATCTGAGCGCCTGCCAGTACGCCGTGGACAGGCCCGTGTGAGAGAGAGACAGGAAGGCCTGCCGCCTTTCGTCCCTTGTTTTGTTGTTGTTGTGGTTGCGTTCAGAAAACAAACAACCCCCCCCACCCATTTAAAAAAACAAAACCCAGAGACACAGGAACAAGCAGGCGCACAATTCTGAATGGACGAGGGAGGAGGCCTCGTTTCCGCAATCAAAGGACTTGAATGTTCGAATCCAAAGTAAATGGGCACTAATGGAACGCGAGATGGAAACAGCGGAGTGACTTCGGAATTGAGACAAAATGTAAACCAGAAAGAGAAGGGTTGGGGAGAGGCACAAGAGATACCACTGAAACTAGCGAGTCCCTTTGTTTTCAAAGGATATTCTCCTGCTACCTTTCACTGAAGAAGAAAAAAGTATTTCCAACATCTACAAGGACATATATTATAAATATATATAAAATACGGACAAACGTTTGAATCGCTATACTATGACATTTTAATGTTCCTATAAGCTTGTTATTTTTTATGTTTAGCATTGTTAACATTAAAATAAAAAAATGACGGGAAAGGATGTATATATATATCGAAATGTCAAATTAATTTTATAAAAGCAGTTCTTAGTAAATATCCACAGTGTTTTTAAAAGTTAGGCTTTAAAATAAAGCATGTTACACAAGACATTAGGGATTTCTTTTCTTTTTCTTTTTTTCCGCTTGCGAGCAAGGGAATGTATATACTAAATGCGAGACTGTATGTTTCTAACATATTATTAATTATTATTATTAAAAAAGAAGAAGAAGAAGTCCCATTGTGTGAATATCGGTTTTAGAATAGTACCTCTGGTGGATGCAATGGCGACGCTGAAACTGCAATGTAAACATACCCTGTGTATAACATTTCGTATAATAGTGTTTTCCTTTTCTGACAACATTGGAAAAAAATGTGTTTTCTTTCATGGGAGTAAAATATACTGCATACAGTTTGGTCTGGATTTTTTTTTTAATCCGTTCAAGCGCATAGAGGGATATCCCCACATATTGTCCGGCTGCTGATCTCCAGTCTCCCTTCTGGTGTGTGCTAGCAAATTGTTACTAGCAAATTCTTCTTCTACGCCTTTCATTTTTAGTCTTGTCGGTGCAGTCCTATGTATGTCTACTCAGACGGAAGCCCAGCTGAGTTAAATGGAGCTGTGCGCAGGATTGCAGCCCAAATATGTCGATGGCGGTGTAAAAGAAGGTAGGAAGGGGGTGGGGAGTTCAATCTCTACAAGGGTCGTCCCCATAAGGTGATCGTTCTCCCAATGAGCTGGGTTCTGCTGTTATTGCCCTAACCTAACTGATCACGAACGCGATCCACCACTGTTCAGAGTCCTGTTGACTTAAGGACATACGTAGGTGGCTGCCGAATACTGAGACAGACCATTGCTCTACCTCCCTCAGCAGCGCCAGTTCTGGCCGGCAACTGCTCTTCAGAGCTTCTCCTGGAGAGTTCTAAACGACGCTCTTAAATCCAAGTGAAATCACTGGGACTTAAACTTTGTTTAACTTTGCCTTATATGTGCCGAATAATAACAAGTGAATCAATAAAACGGCCAGGTTATCTTCTTATCTGTCTCTCCATTGTCTGCTCCTACCGCTCTGTCTCTCATCTGTTCCTTTCTGAGGGTTAAAAAAAACCAAACCAACAGAAATTCTTTCCTTAAACCTGTACGGATCACCCCCCCCCCTTTCCAGCAGAAACCGAGAAACCAGAGCCTGCTGTGTCTAAAAGCGCCGCCGCGCCTCGCGTCGAGCTCAGCCACAAGAATCCGGGAGAGGGTCGCTGGTTCTGGAGCACCTCCTTTCAGAAGGCTTGTCCTGCAATCTGTAGCCGAGGGGGAAAGGTCGCGCTCTTTGTGTTGGGCGCGTAGAGATATTGACCCATTCATTCTCAAACTGCTTGTTCGCCAAACGATACGGGATTATAGTTTTGCAAGTCTGCGGGTGGGGGGTAAGCAAATCAAGATGAATTACGGCGCGCGCCCGGAGCGGGCAGCAGCAGTAGAGAAGGGAGAGGAGAGATGGTTTAAAAAGAGTGGAAAGGGTTCCTTAGGTGCGCATCGTAGGAGTTAAGCTACTGGCCACCCTCTTCCCTCTCCCACTCGTTCCCCAAGTCTCTGTCTCTCTTCCTCTCCCCCCCCCCCCGCTGTAACCTTACCAATAGGTAGAACACACAAATGCGCCTTTGTGTTCCCGGTTTCAAAACATAGATACCAGATAATGCGTTTAATTTATGGTTGCCAGGAGCTGCACATTAACTTTCCTCCTCTCTTTCCGTCCCTCCCCCTTTTCTCCTTTTGGGGGGCAGAGGGCGTTACACTAGATCCCTCAAGTCTACAAAAGGCCCCCACCCCATGGAGACTGCAGAGAAGACAGAGGGAAGGGAAGGGCGAAGAGGACTCGGAAGAGCCTGTGCACCTGAATTGCGCACTTACAGAATCATAGAACGTAGAACTGGAAGGGACTCCAAGGGTCATCTAGTCTAACCCTCTGCAATGCAGGAATCTCAACTAAAGCATCCAAGGCGACTCCAAACATATATTTATTTTGCCTTATTCATTCAAACCGCACCTTCTTCCCAAGCAGCTCAAGGTGGGGTTCCTGGTTCTCCCTCACCTCCATTTCATCCTCACAAAGACCCTATGAGGTAGGTTAGGGTGAGAGGGAGTGACTGGCCCCAGGTCACCCTGTGACCTTCATGGCAGCGTGGGGACAAGATTCATGCACTCTTTCCACTGCACCACCAGGCTGGTTGACTTGGAAGTTCAGTTCCGCTGAAACCCAGCAGAAGTAGAGGGTGGTAGCCAACTAAGTTTTTCTCAGAGTAGACCCATGGCTAAATTAGGCATATTCATTTCGATGGGTTTAATCCGAGTAAGATTTAGCTGGAGACCACCCAAATTATCTGCCGTCCTCTAAACCACACTGGGATCTTAGCAATCTTTTTCATGTCCCCCCCCCCAAAAAAAAGGGGGCGGGGAAGGGAATGGATTCGTCTCAGTCTCCTTACTTCTTGGGAATGGGTAGTTAGAGAGAGAAGCCCACGGAGTCCCTCAAAATAAGGAATTTCCTGCAAGGCCCAAGGAACCCCTGTTCCCTCCTTTGCGAGGGCCGAAGGGCCTTTCGAACATGCCGAGGTCCTTGACCCAAGGCCAGGTTTTTCAATCGATCGTCCTTCTCCTCGGGTCAACACTTCCGACCGGAGCGTGAGAGGAGCCTGGCGGCATTTCTCCGTGTGTGTCTGTGCGTGCTTGTGCGCCTTTGTGTTTAAACGCATGGTAATTATTAAGCCAATTGTTCTCAACGACTACCAGCTTGCATTTGATAACAGACGGAGATCTCGCCCTTTCTTAGCCAATTGATTCCGTCCATGAATTCAAAAATATTTTCGTGACCACAGACTTCGTATCTCATTTCCGGGCGGGCCGATTGACGATGAAAATCGGGTCATCTCTGGAGCTACGAACGGAACTACTCGGAAGTAAGTTCCTTTTAATTGCTTCTGCTTTGGGAGTGGGGGGGGGGGGAGGAAAGAAGGGGACGACCATACCGAGGAGCCTCTGCATACGTTTACTTCGAAGTAAGCCCCATTGAATCCCCAGGTAAGCTCCCTGCCTCCAGGGAGTTACTGGAATTTTCTGTCTCCCCCCTCACTTTCGCCCCCCCCCCACTGTTAGGCAGAAAGGGAAAATGCCCTCGCTCTCCACAACACCCTTTAGTTATTTCCCACCAAAAAAACACATCACGCATCAAGCGACATCTCCCCTCCCAGGAGCCTCTGGCGCTCCTCAGCTCAGCCAGAAATCGGGGGAGAAAGTACCCCCTGCCTATCCCAGAAAACCCCTGAATTAAATCCCTCCCCGAGAGGGAGTGGAATTTCTTCTCTTCCTTCTGCCCCGTCTAATAAGATAAAAGCCCGAGGGAAAGCGGGGAGGGGGCTCATTTTTTCCTGAGAAAGGAAAATAATAATAATGAGATTATATTTGGAGTAGGCAGTAAATCACAGGGGGGCCTTGGACGTCCGGGGGTTGTGTTTCTGACGTATCAAAGCAAAAGAAACACACAAAAAACACGGTATCGCGGCCCTCCTTGGAAGGTAAGACCGAGAAACGACGTGGTGTGTGTGTGTGTGTGTGTGTGTGTGTGTGTGTGACAGAGAGACAGAGAGAGAGAGAGAGAGAGAGAGAGAGAGAGAGAGAGAGAATACGCAAGGCCAGAGAAGAAAGCTGGCTCAAAAGAAGAAAACATCGCTTTCCCAAGTTGCAGGTCTTAAAGCCCCAAAGCCATAAATTAACCGGCTGGACTTGTGGCATCTCTCTCTCTCTTGAGGACTCTATTAGAAATGCCGGCGAGAGATTCGAGCGGCTGACCCCAAAGGCGGGTGCGAGCAAACAGGGCTGTCTGGCTAGGAATCCACATCGCAATCCACAAAAAAAGAAGCCCGACTCCTTTCCCCGCCCTTCCCGTCGAGGGGCGTCTCTTTCCGCGTTGCTCCCCGCTCCGCCCCCCCCTCCGCCTGGTTTCCCTGTAAAGTAGGCAGGCAGCGTTTGAAGGGAGATCTTGGCACGCCCCCCCCCTCCCGCGTGCGTGTGTGGATGGACAGAAGTGGGCCTGTAAGAAGAGCGGATGTTTTGAAAGTTTTATGAATATAGACGGGCTATTGATTGCCTTCAGGAGCTCGGCTTGGCTGAACCCAGCACGTTTCGTCGGGGAAGGAATTAAAAGCTGGAAGGAGAAAAAAGCCAAGAGACTTGGGCGGCTTCTTGATGTTTCTGCAGCTGCAAACGGCGAGCGGCTGCCTATTCCTCCATCTTCCCGGGCATTCGCCTGCTCCTGAGGACGGAAAGAAAGAAAGATCGCCTCCTCTCCTTCTAGGATTACTGGATCAATAAACTAAGATTGCTATATTTAAAGCTTGTATGTACACACACTTGGGGGGTGTTAGCTTCGTTGAACACGGGGGGGGGGGGGCTTATCTCCGAGGAAACGCGCTTAGGATCGGGGCACACTTCAGGCATCCAAAAGCACGAAGAGAATTCAGTTTTGGGTCTCTCTTTGTCCCTCGCCTGTAAAACTGTTAGGATTACGTTCCTGGAAATACACTTCCCAATTTAGCGGTGTTATTGTTTGCTGTTGTTTTACAGCTTCGGTTCTTCGGCATTTTAACAGTCTGCACTTAAAGGAAGGTAAAACGTCAAAGTGAGCTTGAAGAGCTAACAGATAATAAAGGGAAGAAAAACCAGAGGAACAGAATCCGCGAATGCCAGGGAATTTATTTCGGGAAGGACAAAACGTACTTGCAAGGATTAGGGGAGGGACGAGGAGAACTTTTCTTTGGGTTGTTAAATGGATTAAAAATGTAAATTGTGCATTGCATTCCCACTAGCACGATATACACACCCACCCGCTGGGGGTTTCACCAGGGCAACAACTTTAACTATATTTTATCCAGCTCTATCTACAAGACTTCCAAACTTTGGACACGGGAAATGAAGTACGTATATAATCTCTGAATTGTTCCCAAATTGTGTTATTTCATTGACGGTCAATGAATATCGCTGAAGAAGTGTGTGCGGTTTTTGTGAGTGTTTTATTACCTTTTCACGCCAGCTTTAACGGTGCATGACACACACAATGACTACACACAGACATACAGGATGCATACCTGAGTATCTCTCGAAATACAATTCTTATCAGCAGAACCCTCCCACCCCAATTTGAAATATATGTCCGGAGAAATATGTGTCCAATCTTTAATCCAATTTCTATTCACAACTGTGCAAGCTGACTTTAAAGGTGCATTTAATGCAGTGATAGTTAAATATTTTAAGGGCATATGATTTGGCTTGCTAAATGCCTCGTTTGATACGCAGACTAGACAGATGTAGCTCCCAATAGTCGTCCCCGGTAGGCCGAGACAGTTAATCTTCCACGAACCAGGAAAGATTTACGCTTTTCAAGATCCGTACGAAGACTCGGCTAATTAGATTGCTGAACCTCCTCACCCTCCCACAGGGTGAGCAAGAACACTAACAGAACACACACGCACCATTCCTGTCCCAACCAATGAGTCTCAAAACACACACACACACACACACACAGAGAGAGAGAGAGAGAGAGAGAGAGAGAGATTTAAAGCGAACTGAGACTCCTTAAAGTGAAAAGACACAAATCAACTTAGATAAGGGTTACCTATTCTCAGATCGGAGCCTTCTGTCCCAAGCCAGTGTACTAAGTCGCGTTGAACTCGGCTGGTCTTGTTACTAAGTAAACAGGCGCACGATCGGATTGTCCTACGCTTTTGTCTACAACGCATTTCACACGCCGGCCACTGTGTGGGATACACCGAACAACCCAACTTCAGCCGATGGAGGTGGACTGGTGGTTTAGCTCCGAGAGACTTCAAGCGGATGACTTGAATCGATCGACTATGAATCGGCAATCATTGCAAACACTCACCTCCCCAGTCCGCAAATTAAGTGCAGCAGACTTTAAATCGTAGGTTGACAATCACTGCCCAATGCCAATAAGTATGTCCTTTTCCTACAAAAATTGCAAACACCCCTCTCCCAGTTTAATCCAAGTAGAGCTGTAACCCACCCACCACATTTCTTTCAATGAAATTTATTTCCAGGTTTATTGGAGATAAGTCCCGCTGACCACTCACGTCAAGGCGTAGCCAGTAGGAAATAAAGGAGATACCAAAGAGGAAGCTACTTAGGCTAGCTGCCCTGCAGCCCAATCCTATGCTCGTTTACCTGCAGGTAAGTACCACTGATAAGCCAATTTAGTATCAAATAAGTGAACAAAGGGGGTCAGCCGTCCAGCCCTCCAGGCATGAGTGCTTACTCGGAAGTAAGAATGATTTCTGTCAACTTCCTCCCAGATTCATGGGATTGCAACTTTTAGCAGTCTTACTTTGATGGTGTAAGCCCCTTTAGAACTCATGGCACTTTCAAGTTAAAGAAAAGTTAAGAATGAGGTACCACCCATGGGATCTAAAGCGGCCCCTCGCTATTAGGGCTTTTCCATGTGAGTCTATTCTGCAACATACCATTAATGCAGGAATAGTATAGTAATGGAGGATCTTGCCTGGATTCTCCACACTCCATCCCATTGATGTCTTTGTTCTGTAATGCTTTCCCTATGTTACCAGATTATTGCTTTATAATACAGCAAAAATGGAACAACCCCCCGCCCCCCAACAACGCCACGGAACATATGTGGCATGAAAAGTTACAGGATTTCATTTAGAAGTTGTGGATATGCAACAAATGGAAACTCACCATCATGAGCACAAATGAACGGGCAATTAAAAGGACGTCTGGAGTGAAATCAAATCGAGTTAAATCCAAATATTTGACTGCCACTGTGAATGGAACTGTAAGGATGTGGGATTGAGGTAGCCAGGTGCAAAAATGGACAGGGCTCCTGCACCTGATGTAGTGATGGAGAAGAGAAACTACCAGCTTGCAAGAAAACACAGAAAGAGGCAGGAGCCCTTTCCTCTTTTGCATATGCCCTGCCTATGTGACATTTTGGTCCCATGGAAATAAAGGAGCTTTATGTACATGTATCTGAAAGGCCCTAGACAGAAGGTAGATTGGAATCTACTGGTAGTCTGTGATTTGAAGTAGAACAGCAAGGAGGAGCAGCAACAAATCACCTCTCTCCACCAAATCAGGTGGCTGAGATGAAGAAGGTTGGGGTGAGGAGAACCAGGAGTGGATTTTTGAGTGACAAGACTGAGAGCTCTCAGTTTTGGAAACTGATTCTGAGCACTGAGTTCCTTATTCTAAGATTATCTTGGCCCCTCTCCTAAGCTACTGTTTTGTAGCAGTGTGTATGGACTGTAGCTTAAGCGTTAGTGGATCTCTGGTGTGTGTGTGTTTAAAGTAGTTTCCACAAGCCTGAAGTCTGCCTGGCCCTGATCCCCATCAGAAAATCTACTGTGACAATTGAAATAGAAAAACTTGATGCCTACTCCCTCCCCTCTTTCTCCTTGCTATTGTTCTTCGCAGTTGCTTTGTCTTGCCAGGAGGAGACCTTTGCCCTACATGGTGTAAAGAACATTGTCCTATGGCTCCTTGATCGCTTAGGCCCTCTGATGTGGTGTACAAACAAGAAGATGTTTCTTCCTAGGTTCAATTGTACAAATGATGAGCATATCGCTGAGTAACCAGTAGATAGAGTCTCCTTTGGCTAACCTGAAGCCAAAGGGCAGAACAATGGCCCAGTAAACAAATCAGTAATCTTGTTTATTGAAATAGGCTTTTGTAGAGTAAGTGGTGACCTGAAGGGTGAAATATTGAGTTCGGAGGAAGTAGGGATATTCAGGAACAATTCTGGATGGAATAGGAAACACCTAATCCATTTCTTGGGACGTGGGTGGCACTGTGGGTTAAACCACAGAGCCTAGGGCTTGCCGATCAGAAGGTTGGCAGTCCAAATGCCCGCGACAGAGTGATCTCCCATTGCTCGGTCCCAGCTCCTGCCAACCTAGCAGTTCGAACGCATGAAGTCTAAGTAGATAAATAGGTACTGCTCCGGCAGGAAGGTAGATGGAGTTTCCGTGTGCTGCTCTGCTTTGCCAGAAGTGGTTTAGTCATGCTGGTGACACGACCTGGAAGCTGTAAAGTGAGATGAGCGCCGCAACCCTAGAGTCATCCGCGACTGGACCTAATGGTCAGGGGTCCCTTTACCTTTACTTTTAAGCCATTTCTCAGGACCAATTTTATCTTCCCACTTGACCACAACAGGAGTAAAACTGCTTCAAATACGATGGCTAATGCTGAGTCTTACTCTGGGTAAGTAAGTATAGACTACAGCTTTAAACATGCTTAGAAGCATAACATTTGGGTAGCCAACACAGTGTCTTTTAGATGGTGTTAGAATCCAACTCCTATCAACCCCAGTCAACATAGCCAGTGGTCAAAGATGATGGGAAGTGGAGTCCAATAACATATGGAGGGCACCATGTTGACTATCCTGCTATAACTAATAGCAAGCACTCAACCTCTCCTTTACCTTTTTACCTGAGGTCCTCTTGCAACCTCCCTCCCTCTATAAATTTCTCCCAAATCCCTCCCACTGCCATGCTTTCTTGCGCTCCTTTCACCCATGGGTGTCTGTCCCCAAGACTTCAGTCATAAGAACAGAAGAACCCAGCTAGATCAGGCCAAAGGCTCGTCTAATCCACCATCCTGTCCTCACAGTGGCCAACCAGATGCCTATGGGAAACCATAAAGCAGAACCATGAGCACAACAGTGCTCCCCTCGTGTGATTCCCAGCTCCTTAACTCATATGTCAAGAGTATCCTCTTCTTTTCCACTAATACATCCGTGTCTGTTTTCTGCTCTAAGTTCTCAGGAGCAATACCTTGAAGAAAGACTTTCCTGAACAACTTCTGTATCACATCTCTCTGCAGACCACAAACTTATACATACTAGGTTTATGCCACATTGAGGAAGATCCTTGTAAACTATGGTCTGTTCCCTGACTATCCGCCCTTATAGAGCTATAGTTTCCATGATCACTTCTGGGCAGTGTTATGTCTATAGGTCCTAATTTCCTCTGCCCCACACTCCATTCACCTACTCCTGAGCACTCTTCAGTCTCGTCTCCCTTGCCTGGGAGTAAGTTCTACTGAATTCAATGGGACTTCCTTCTGCCATAGAAATGTAAAAGATTGCATTGTTGCTGATGAGTTTGGGGCATACTATATGGCAGGGGCATGGAATCCACTGGCTGCATTGCCTCATGCTTGGGAGGAGGTACCTGCCAGCATTGGGTGGGGCCAGAGGCAAAGTGGGTGGGGCAACAGATGTACAACAGACTACATTCCAGCCATGCAAAAGTCTCTCTCTCTCTCTGTGTGTGTGTTTTACAAACACCTCTCTCCATCCAAGTAAACAAGAGGCTTTATCACAGTTCAAGGACACATTCCAGCCAGGCCAAAACACTCAAGGAGCCTTGGAGCAGGGCTGTCTCTGCTGCTGGTGAGGTGCAGCAGGGAAAAACAAGTGTGACCCGAATTGCGGGTGTGGCCTGAGAAGTGTCCAGAGGGCTGGCTAGAGAGGCTTTGAGGCTTATATTTAGCCAGAAGACTGAGGCTGTCTGCCGGGGCTGTACTGGATTTGGGTCCCTGTCCAGACTCTGATAGTCCTGAGACTGGAGGGCTTTTACCAAGAAATACCGTTGCTATATGGTGTGCTCTCCTATGCATTGCATTACATATCTACTCTGAAGCAGGCCCTACGGCGCGTGCATAGGATTGCAGCTCAGGTCCCCCCAAATGTGAGGTCTACACTTGGTTCTCTTGCCCAGTAGAATTTAGGGGAAAGCCTTTGAAGAGAGAAAGAGACCTCGAGTGAGAGTTTGTTGCCTAAGCTGAAAGGAAGGGGGTTCCTAACATTTGAAGCCTGTCTTGTGCAGAATTGCCCTAGTCTTGACAGCAGTCGGGTAGTCTTCCGCCAGAATCAAAACACCGAGTCCCATAGCAGAGATGACTTTTTGCCTCGATCTCTTGACCGCCCAAGAGGCGCCTCTGCGTCCCCGCCCT